GTGAAATGATATGAAGTCTGGGATTTACTCAGAATAGCCTAGGGTGGTGATTCTCACCAAGAGGACTCTTTAAAACAAGCCCAGAGTTTCTGATTCAGTGGGGCTGGGGTGGGGCCTGAGAATTTGTGTTTCTAATGCTGCTTGATGCTTCTTGTCTGGGGACCACACTGTGAGACCCACTGACCTCAGATGTAGGAGACGGGGCGGGGGATGAATGAAGTGAGGTGGGGCACAAGCTGGTAGCAGTCGGAGCTGGTGGGTACATGGTAATGTGGGTACATAGGGTTTCTTACACTTACCCTACGTAAGAAATTTCCATAATAAAAACGTGTGTGTGTGTGTGTGTGTGTGTGTGTGTTTCCAGAATTTGACTGCTTCTCAGAGCCTCCACCGCTACCACCGTGGTCCAGCTGGCATCACTTCTTGCCTGGATCATTGCAGCGCCTCCTAACTGGTCCCCTTGCTTTCCCCGTTTCCCCTCTGCTCTTAACAGAGCAGCCAGAATGACCCTCAAAACCCTGCAAGGACTCCCTCTAGCTCAGAGTGAAATCCTGTCTTTTTACGAGCTAGGAATCGCATGTGTCCCCCACTCCAAATCAGACGCATTGATCTTCTCTCTGGTCCTTGAATATGCCAGGGATGCTTCTGCCTCAGGACCTTTGCACATGCTCTTTTGGGCCTACACTGCTCCCTACCCTTCACTTAGCCCTCTCTCTCACTTCCTTCAGGTCTGCATTCGAAAGTCACCCTTGCGACACTATGTATAATCACACGCACATGCACGCACACACACGCACCCTTCATACCCTGCTTCCTTGCTCACTTTTTCTCCTTAGCTCATATCATTGTCTATATTGTGTGCTGATCTTGTCTATCCGCTCTGGCAGGAAGCTTTCATGATACCTGGCACTGAATAGGCCCTGCCACGTCACTGCCTTTGTGGATGTGTCTCAGCAGTGCCAGTGACCCCACCTGCCCCCACTGCCGGGTTGGCCTCATCACTAATCCATTCATGACAAACACCTTTTCTCAGCCACGGTGCAGTGCCTGCCTTGGCTAACTCTGGTGCAGATGGACTGCTGTCTCTTCGAGTCCCTGCTGCATCCCTGTGCCCAGGACAATGCCAGCCACAGTAGGCTCTCAGATAGATGTGTGTTCACAGACTGAAGACTGCATCCCAGGGCGAGAGGTGGGCGAGGAGGAGGGTGGGCGAGTGGATGGGAGGTCTTTCCTCAAGCAGGCTGGATGTTCATGTCCAATGGGAGAGGAAGCAAACACATCCTCCCAGGGAAAAACCGACAGGAAATGTAACGAAAGTGTGGAAGACAGGAATATTCTATTTTCGAGAGATTAAGTAGGAAAGCACAGAAGTTGCAAGTGGGCAGGCCAAATACAGTCTGCAGAGGTGTGTGTGTTCTGCCCACACACTGCTTAAAATAAATTCGGATTGGTTGTCAACACTGAAAAGTCAGGACTGTCCTATTTCTCTCGAAAACCTGGAGACCTGCCGGCACTAGGCTGGCATGCCTGGCTGGCACTGACCGGCTGGCCCTGTCAAAGCGGATGCGTTTCCTCTGGTCAGCCACGCCCCTTCCAGCAGCTTCCTTCATTTGTTACCTGCCTGGTGCTTATAGTGCTTTGATTTGTGAGCTCTCTTTTGAAGAACAAAATGGATTTCTTCTTCCTTCAAACCTACCTGGGGAAACACAGTTCTTTAGGGCAAGCAAGTTATTTGGAGAGTCAGTTGACTTTGGAACAGGCTGCCTGGGAGGCCAGGTCTCTGAGAGTGTGGAGACGGGGCTGGGAGGAGTGAGGGGGCCCTGCACCACGGGGTGGGTCAGAGGGAACCCTGAGAAGAGAAAATCAGCTTACTGGAGAGATGGTTTGCAGGCGAGACTGGGCTTTAAAAAGTGAAAAGATTCACAAGTGTTATGGGTTCAAATGTGTTCTCCAAAATCATATGTTGAAGTCCCAACTCCCAATACCTCGGAATGTGACCTTATTTGGAAATAGAGTCATTGCAGTGTCGTTAGTGGGCCTCTAATCCAATATGACAGGTGTCCTTATAAGAGGAGAGAGACACAGACACAGGGAGGAGGCGGCCATGTGACGATGGAGGCAGACATCGCAGTGATGCAGCTGTAAGCCGAGGGCCACTGGCCCGGCCTGAGCTGGGAGGCGGCGGGAACGCCAAGAGCCTGACCCCGCCCAGCCCTCGCTGTCAGACGGCAGCCTCCAGAGCTGTGTGATGATAGAGTCTGTTGTTTCAAGCCCCCCTGGTTTATTTCCAATTCACCTGTTTGTGGTAGAAAAACTCACCAGGTGATCATAGCCACTGAGGAGGCGCCTTGCTGTGAGTTGTCACATGTAAAGTCAGGCAGGAAGATGTTTATGTTAGGGAGTCAATAATGTACAGGATTCAATTGGCACAAGGTGGCCCTGTGGTGTGGTGCTTGTTTGTTTTTAAAATACGAAGATCAGAAGCCTTGTGTGTGTGTGTGTCATTTTCCCAGTGACGGGGCGTGTGATGTACACACGTGTCATCTATCATCCAGCAGGACGAGGGGTCTGTTTGTTTCCACAGCTTTTCCCTGTGGCCACGTTCCCACCTCTGAAGTGTGGCTTTGACCACATCACTTTGCTGAGAAGTTTCCTCCTGTTCTATTTGTCAGGGTTATTCACAGACGTGAATGAATGTACAAAGGTCTCCTTGTTTCACGGTTAACAAGCTGAGAACCGGATGACACTAAGGCTTCAGGGTTCTTTTGGAAGGTTTTGGAAACCTCCGAGGGTTGAAATATATATTTATTTGTGTCAGACTTACTCTCTCGCATCGATGCACCTGTGCCTGAGCTGAGGCCAGGAGCTGTCCAATACAGTGTCTGTGGATTGGGAGACTCCACCTTGGGCCACACACGTCCTGCAGGAGGGACATGACTTCCACCTGTGAGGCTGGGGGTTCACAGGATGACCTGTCCTCAAGCGGGGAGCAGGCCCGTTTCCAGGGGGACCCGTAGGCACGCGACCCAGGGCCTGTCCCCGAGCAGTGGGCCCGCTGCCTCTGTGCACAGGATGTTGTGCATCTCGGCTGGGAACAGATGCAAGGACCCAGCAGGATGCCTCGTCCCCTGGACCCCGCAGCATTGTGGGAGCAGGAGACCTGTGGGGTCACAGAAGGGGGTTGCGCCCATCAGTGGGCCCCTAAGACATCCACGTCCTAGTCCCCAGTTCCTGTGAAAGTTCCCTTACAGGTCAAAAGGGACTTTGCAGTTGTGATTAAGCTAAGGGCCTTGAAAAGGGGAGGTTACCCTGGGTGATCTGGGTGGGCCCAGTGTACCCACAAGGGTCCTTAAAAGGTGGAAGAGGGAGGCAGGAGAGGGAGAGAGAGTGAGATGCGAAGACAGGAGCAGAGCAGAGTGACCCGATTGCTGGCTCTGAAGAGGGAGGAGAGGCCCGGAGCCGAGGTGGCATCTAGAGCCACGGTTCTCAACCTTCCTAATGCCGCGACCCCTTAATCCAGTTCCTCATGTGGTGGTGACCCCCAACCATGAAATTATTTTCGTTGCTACTCTAGAACTGTAATTTTGCTACTGTTATGAATCGTAATGTAAATATCTTTTTGTTTTCCGATGGTCTTAGGCGACCCCTGTGAAAGGGTCGTTCGACCCCCAAAGGGGTCGCGACCCACAGGTTGAGAACCGCTGCTCTAGAAGCTGGAAAGAGCCGGGGAACAGATTCCCTCTTAGAGTTTCCAGAAAGAGCACAATCCTGCCGACACCTTGATTTTCACCCAGTGAAACCCATTTCAGAGACTTCTGAGCAGCAGAATTATAAGTCCGTAAATGTGTGTTATTTTGAGCCATTGAGTCTATGTTACAGACTCTGCCTCTCCAGCTGCCCCACGTTCTCTGAGGCAGGTGGATGGGCCGGGTGGGACGATGACCTCCCAGGCCTTTTCATAATTATCTTTAGGTTACTCTGCCCTGTTCCCACCCCACCCCCACCCCTGCCCCCAAAAAACTAATCAATCAGAAAAATTCCTGTGAGTATTGGGTAGCAATGTAATTTATTAAACTGGTTCTTAACCTTTCTGGTGTCACTAACTCCTCTGAGATTCTGATGAAAACTATGGACCCTAGCCCCATAAAAATAAACATTCAAAACAATTTGCATACGATTTTATTAAAAGCTTTTTTTAATTTGCATACAATTTTATTATTAAAAGCTTTTTTAAAATTTGCATACAATTTTAGAAGCTATACAGATACCCCATAGTCTCCCCGTGCAGCTGCCATGTCAGCCCTCCGCTGTCACCCCAGATCAACGCCCTTGTGTTAAATGAATTTAGTGAAGCTGAGGACTGCCGTCCTGCTGTCTCCCTCGTGCCACTTGTCAGGTCCTTATTTGAGGGTTCACCCTTGTTTATATTTTGTTCTGTGCATTTGGAAACATTCTTCTGAGAAGGGATACAAAGCCCTGTCCCCGTAATTAGCCAGCAGTGTCTGTGGCGTCATCGTAAAGATGGGGGCTCCCTGCTCCTAAGGGCCCGTCCCTCTGTCCATTTTGCTTTCACCCCAGGCTGTGTCTTGTCCTGGGTGTTGAGGGTAACTGCTGAAGTCCCAGGGGGGCTCTACTCGTGCAGTTTAGCTGGGGTTCACTGCACCCAGGCCTGGGGCACCCAGCCTTCTGTTCAGCCTTTCTGTGTCAGCAGGTCCCTGGGTGCAGGTGAACGCTCATACTGCAAAGCCTCCAGTGGACAATACTTAGGAAGGAAGGTCCTCCCCAGCAGGTAATGATGACCCACTCCTGTTCCTGGGCATGTGGATGGTGGCGCTTCAAGGCCGGGTTTAAGGTACCTGCTTCCCACTTAAACCCAGTGCCTCGGGACAGCCAGGGTCTCCCCACACCCTCTCCAGCCCCCAGGAAACTGCTGGTGCTTTCAGAGCGCAAGCTTTTCATGGGAAGGTCTGAATCTCTGCTGCTCCTTGATTCGCTGATGGTAAAACCTACACACGTATTACTGGGGGCTGAGCTATTGTCTGTGTGTTTTCTTTCTCGAGTGGGTGGGGAGCCGATTGGAAGGCTGCGGTGAGAGAACTCCAACAGGAGACTCAGGCTGATGTTGTCTGTGATGTGCTTCTCCCCTAGCTCCGGAAGAGAAGGAGGTCATTAGAGGCCAGTATGGAAAGCTCACGGATGCTTATGGATGCTTGGGGGAGCTCAGGTTAAAATCGGGTGAGTATCCCTTCCCACAGAACAGCAGCTGTCAGCAGGGCAGAGCGTCTCACGTTAGTTTGGAAAGACTGCCAGATTTAGAGGTTTGATTTTAACCGTTCTGATCTTTTAAAATGTTTGTGTTTGCTGAGCTTGCGCCTCCATGCCAGGAGGTCAAGGTGAGTGCAGCCTGGTTCTCGCCTGTCTTTGCTACTTCTGGCCCTGGGTGCAAAGAAAGCTCACCTTCATTATTTGCCAACCAGGACCTGCGTTTTTCCAGTCAGTCTGGGGGGATCTGCCCAGGGTGTTGTTTACAAGGGATTTGTACCGTAGGAGGCCTGGATGCTGGAGGTCCCAAACCCCCTGGACAGGTTGAGTGTGTCTTGAGGTTGAGGAGTAGGGATTGGACATTGTTGGCAAAGAGAGTAAAACCACCAGGACCTGAGCAGCAGAGATGCGGGGGAGGGAGAGGGAGGAAAGTGTGTTCACAAAATGGACCATGGAGTCTGACTCGTAAGGCCGAGAGTTTACGGGAACAAGTGGGCATCCCTGCTCAGTATGAGACACGAGGGGCTGAGTGGTCAGCCTGGCTGCCGTTGGAAGTTGCAGCCTTCCTGTGGGGCCACCTCTGCACTCCTGGACCTCATGGGAGCCCTGGTGCCCTTCCTTCTATCTCAGCCACCTAATGTATGTTGGTTCCACCTGGTGTCATCAGTGAGTCATGGGGCCAAGACCAGAGCCCGGGTGACATTCCTCGTTCTCAGTCCCATGGGTCAGATGGGAATGGCTGTGCGTTGACCACATTCAAGCATGATGGCTTTCCCAAGCCAGGCGCGTCCATCTCCATCTCCCTCTGCAGCTGTTCTCATGGACAGAGGACGTTTAAAGCCGATGGAATAGTCCGGGTGTTTGCTGTTACTTTTCTGGGTCTTCCCTGGGATGATTTTTTCCTGAACTATGGTGATGACATTAAACATTTCCAAACAGTGTTGACGAAATGCACTTGGTACCCACATGACCAGGTGCATTTATTAAATGTCCGTGTTGTGCCAAGGGCTACGTATTCATTACCTTACTTAATCCTGCAAATAAACCAATGCAACAATATATCTTCCTCTGTGTTTATAGTAAAGGAAACAGACTGAGAGGGTTAAAGCAACTTGCCTAAAGTAAGAGCTCAGCTAGAATTGAAACCCAGATCTAACTGCCTCCAAACGCTTGCTTTTTCCATGAAAATGTGCTGCCTGCCAACGGTTTTCTGCAGGATTTTCCCCCGCAGTGATCTTTCTGAGATTATGAAAAATTCCTGTGGCCCTTTTTGCCTCCGTGCTGATGATGGTGAAGATGACAGCTTAGCATTACATCGTGCTTCCTTCTGGTTAGGCAGTGTGTGAGTGTGGTGACTGATTAACTACCTCGGCGCTCCCAGCAGCCTAGGAGGTAGGTACTGTTGCTGTCCTTTACAGACGCAGAAAGAGAGCTCAGAAAGCTTATGTGCTGTGTTTCATCTGTTCTGTGACACTTTTTTTTTTTACATTGTAGCCTCCAGGCACTCAGGATGTGTTACAGTTGTTGGTAGCTTACAGTTATAACGGGCAACAGTTTTCTTGTACATAAATTAATGATCCATTTTGCATGGATCTGAGGGTCTCCTGGATTCAGTGCAGTTGCTGTAACTTGCCCAAGGTCTGGCAGCTGCCAAGTGGCACCCACGTTTTAAACTTGTACCTTTTGGTACCAGGGGCAGCTTTCGACCTCCAGGCTACTCTGTCCAGAAAGGGGCAGAAAGACTGATTCCAAGGACAGGAAGGGCAGTGCCTTCCTCCACCCCAGGGGAAAGCATTTTCCTATGATCTGAGGTCAGCTACAGGTAATTGGTCTTAACCAGGAAAAGTGGCAGCCCTCAGAGAAACATTGTCGGGAAGCCAGGGTATCTGGGCCGGGGAGTGGGGGACGAGAGAGGGTGTGGGTGGGGGAGGGGCCGGCCCAGGGGCGAGGGCGGGGTTCAGCAGGATCACCCCCAGGCAGGGAGTGTGGAGAGAGGCCACCAGGCCTGCAGCTGCCCTAGGCAGGGCCCTCCTCTCCCCACTTCCTGCAGCCAGCGCCCACCGCCTGCCCCTCCCCTGGGGAGGGAGAGAACACAGCCTCTGCTGGCCATACAGGACTAGCCAAGGAAGGCCATGCCCTGGCCTAGAGGGCTGTCAGGTCCCTGCCCCATTTCCCATGTCCTCTAATTACCCCCAGCCTGCCTGCCATAGTCACCGTGCAGGGTGGGCTGGAATGCTCTCTGAGTATGGAGAAGATGAGTTTGACTTTTGGAATGTCAGGATTATTCTGCCTTTTCAACACATTTCTCAACGTACTTTGGAGCATCTGGAAAGATGGAAGGATTGGGCCTTATAATCAAGTTTTCCAAATCCTCTTTGGTTACAATGAGAGTATGGCTTTAACTTGATTTTCTTTTCCCACTGCAAGCCGCTAACCCAGACTGTTACCTGTTTCTTTGGGTTTTTTTCCGACCTGTTGAGGGTGTTAGGCAGCACGAAGTGTAGTTTCAACTTCGGGTTGTCACCAAGGTTGGGAGGAGGAGCCTCCCTTTTGACTTTTTTAGGCTGAGGATCTCTGTATAGAGAAACAGACTTCCCCTCAGGCTCTCAACTTGGGCAAGTCGTTCGGTTTCCGGCTACCTAAGTGAAAATAACCTTTTATTTAGAAATTAAGAAAACTGCACGAAAATTGCATCAGAGCTTTATCTCAAGTTCCTAGGTTTTCATGGAAAGCTCAAAATCCCCCCTTCCTCTCTGGAACGCCAGCAGGAAAGGGGTGGAGTCCCACAATAAGCAGGGGAGCTGGGCTTCCCAGTGACTACACAGTACAAAGCAGAGAACGTGAGAGTATAGCAGTCAAAAGAATTTATCCCGATGATTATGGGGATTTAACTCGCTTTTAACCTAAGCTTTCAAGGCCTCCCTGTTTCATAGCCTCAGGGGTTGAATAAAATGAGGTCTATTAATAAAGTGTGTCTCCCGGACTTGTGCAGTGCACAGCCTGTGAAGCTGTACATGACAGCCCTGCATACTTTCCACCAGACAACCCTCCTAGACTCCAGTTCCAGCTTCACAACAGATTGACCTGCATTCGTTTCACCTTTCTAGGGCTGTTTTCCCACCTGTAAAACCAGGAAAACTGCCTCATCTCTATCTTACATAGTTCTTCAGAGATTTACATGCGAGAATGAACATGGGTGCTGAGTGGGAGGGGACTGGCCTACAGAGGGGTCCCTCTGGGAGAACTGGTGTGGTTTAAAGGGCACAGGCTGAGTGCCTGCGGGTCATTGACTCCTGGGGGTGGTGCATGCGCACAGGCTAGCTGGGGGGCTGGCTTCTGTGGGCCATCACTTGAGAATGAGAAGTCTCCGGAGAGGGAAGTTGGAGTCTTTTGAGATTCAGGATATGCAGTGTTCTCTAGCAGGCCTAGCTAGACATGGCACGGCCTTCATCAGTCTTAGAATAATTTATTTTAATGCCTATTTCCAGCGGTGTGCTAGCAAATAATTGACATCCAGCTTTCTGTGGGGGAAAGCCCTGATGTGCAGTGTTTGCCAATATCTGTGGTGTAAATACGCCAACCCTGGCTGATTTCAGGCTACCAGCGCGGAGCTGGGGCAGCTGGCTGCCAGCACACCACAGCCACCCCACCCGCACGCTCTGGGAAGCGAAGACGAATGAGCCCCTCGAGACTGTGCCATGTGGTTGGCAACAGACTTCTGGGCTTGTTAGGGTGGGGGGTGGGGACTCAGGGACCCGCTGGCCAAAAGCTCCTCGCTCTCCAGAGGGAAAGCCCAGAGTCCCTAAGTCCCTGGTTCACAGACTCCAGTATGAGACTGTCCTGTACAAACAGAGGATAGATAAGGCCGTCTGCAGGCTGCCCATTGGCAGCCCAGGCTTGAGATTGCTACAAACCTAGCTGGGGGGTAGAGCTACCGGCCTGAGTAAACACAGGGGGAGTGGGGCCCGCGGCAAGAACATGTCCAGCATTGTCCCTGAATAAGCGGCATTGTGTCTGCCGTGACTCACTGTGATCCCAATGCCAGCCCTTCCCAGCCAGATGACAGATGGCCACGGCAAGATAAGACCTGGGCCGTCGCCGCAGGGCTCGGGGGAGTGGGGCCGCTTGGCCTTGGAGGTGAGTTCTGAAGGCGGCCCTCCTGACGGAAAGATTTTCTAAGGTGATATTGAGGCCTCGGAGTTTCGGTTTTTTTAATTGTGGTAAAATATACAGGAGATAAAATTTACCATTTTAACCGCTTGTAAGTGTACGGTTCAGCGGCATTAAGCACATTCACGCTGTTGTGCAGCCACCCGTCTCCAGAACTCCTTTCATCTTCCTGAGCTGAAGCTCTGTGCCCGCTGAACACTAGACACCAGGGAGCAGCTTCCTGTTCTCTCTGCCTGTGCAGGCTGCAGGCGTTTGCCTGGACTGAGAGCCTCTGGAGGGGGGTGCGCGCGCACGCTGTGAGTAAGAGACAGAGAGAGTCCCCATCAGGTTCTGCTGTGTGCTTTGGCCTGTGACCCATTGCCTGCCCTCCCTGCCACCTCACCTTACTCTGGCCAGCGACCTCTGATGGGTGTGGTCTTGCTTGGGCCGGAGCCCTGGACACATTGTCTGAGCTGGAAGGGACATGGAGACCCTCTGGTGCCACCACCTCTGAGGATAGGAGACCTGCCTGAGGCCCCACAGGCTGCTGCAGCTGTGCAGAGCCCAGAGGCCGAGGCACGTTGGAGCTTATCTCTGCCTTGTTGCTACAAGAGGCTTCCTGGTTGCGAAGCCCTGGACTCGGCCTGGACTGATGACTTCTGAGCACCTCCCCAGACCCAGTTTACTTCTTGGCTGTGAAAACACTCATCGTGTCTTACTGAAAACAAAGCTGAGATCCTGTGTTCACGTTGGGCATCCGAGGGGACTTCTCCCACCCCTGCAGGCAAGTCCCTGTGGCCTCACCGTTATCCCCTAGAGATACCTTCTCTGTGGGGACCACAGGCCAACACCACCCTGACAGGTAGGCCAGGGGGCAGCGACCCCTCAACGGTCTGGTGCTTGGCTTGTTACCATGGGCAGAAAGAATAGGGCCGCCGGGTGAGAGGAGGAAAGGAAGAAGGCGGTAAGGGGACACAGAGGAGGGAGGACATGGGTCATCTTTAAGCAAAAGCGCAGCTGCCAGACAGGCCAGAACTCGATTTGGTGGCCGAGAGCAGACCTGGGCGCCACCTTGCCCCTCAAGGTGAACTTTAGCTAAATTATAATGGATCATAATGGTATTAGCATTGCGGTTTGGGAAAACCTCCACCCCCTGTGCCCCCATGACAGTTCCGACAAGAGCCAAATAAAGACAAAAGCCCCTCCTCCCGAGGGTAGGAGTGGTCAGCGAGGACCCGCCTGGGAATGCCTGTAACGCCACCCCTAAGTCTTGACTATTTCATGCCCTCATTTTAGGAATAATAAATTCCTAAGCCTCTTTTCTCTTCGAGGCAGCTGCCCTTCTCGGGGCCCGTCCGCTCTCCCTTCTTGAGAGAACACTGTCCTTTAATAAACCCACCGCTGGCTTATTCTGTGCATCCTTGAATTCTTTCCTGGGATGATACTAAGAACCCGTTTTCCAGCAACAGGCTCGAACCAGGACGCTTTCCTTCAAACCTGTGGGATGTGGAGAGCACATGAGGGGTGTTAACAGGCCTGGGCGCAGACAGGTAACGCCAGTATTGGGATAACAGGGAGCCGCATGCTGGGCTGACAGGGCCGGTGGGCCTCCCTCCTGGGGAGAATGCACCACAGAGAACTGTGCACAGTACACAGGCATGGTTAGCTCTAAGGGAAACAGTTTCAGGCACTCAACTCCTTCCTGTAATCCGTTTGCCTAAGAACGTGCCTGTGAGACGGGCGAGTTTCTCATTCCCTCTGTCCCTTCCACAACCACGGTCTTCCATCTTATCTCTCTCCCATCTAGAATCTTGCATTGCACTGGGACTTAAAGACATTTAGGAGGTCAAACCAATTCAAAACGTAGCTGTCAGGGCCACCAGTTAGCTCAGGTAGTTAGAGCGTATTGCTTATAACACCAGGGTTGCCGGTTCGATCCCCACATGGGCCACAGAGCTGTGCTCTCCACAGCTATTTAGATTGAAGACAACTACTTGACTTGGAGCTGATGAGTCCTGGAAAAACACTGTTTCCCAATAAAATTTCTTAAACAAAAAAACACGTAGTTTCAGCAGTGTTGAGGAAGTAAGTCACCTGTATGACTCAGTAACAAACTTGTTTACAAGCCAGGGTCAGATGATGTCCAACTGTTTGCTTTCCACAAAACTGGAGGAGAACTAAGGGACCGGCTGACAGCATGGAGGTAATTTTGTCAGCAGATTATTGTTATCTATACTTAGCCTGTAACTTGGAAGGACTTTGAAGAATTTAACTAACATTTCTAAAATGAATCCTTCTTTATTCCTGTTGACTTATTGATGTGAACAACATTTCTTAGTGTTTACATCCATAAAAATGAAAAACAGAACGAGAATTGATATAGAATCTAATTTCATTCCATCAATAAATGATACTTATCCATGAGTATCATGATATATGAGTTAGTTGTCCCATCTGTCTCATTAACAGATGCTTTTCCAACAAATCTTTACATTTTATGTTAAATGATTATTTAGCAAAATGTTTTGTTTACGTTGTTTGACCCAATTGTGTCCTAAAAATTGTTGCAGTGATAGCTCAAACCAGAAGAAATTCTCTTTAAACACTTTCAGCTTTAGGATCAAATGGCTGCACAATATAACAGGGTGATCGATACAGGACACGGAAGCACAAAATGTCACATTAGGATGAGATTCTGGGGGGGAAAGTGGAATGGAATAAGTAAAACTCCCATCTGTTAAAGAAGAACGTGTGTGAGTATTCCTTTAAATAATAAATAGATGGTGATGAGTATCAAGCCACGGTCTGGATTCCATTGGATCCTGGTAAAGAGGCCTAGAACAGTTTTATTTTTACATGTCAATATTGAACATGTAAATATATTACAACCACTTAAACTAACGATAAAAACATTTGGTGTCAATGGAAAAACGAGCCAGAGGTCCCTTGGTCAGTCATGCTCTTAGACAACAAGCCAAAGTGATTGAAGACCACTGGACCTGAGGGCTAGATGGAGCCCCAGGCCAAGGTGAGACCCACATTGGCATCTTGGGTTCAGCACAGACTAGCCGTATGCCTGGCAGGTGATTCAGCTCACTGGGGGACAGTCCCTCGTGTGTGAAATGGCTGCACTGTCAGGCAGGTGGCGATACTTCTGCAAGGATATAGAGTTAAGAGCACCAGCTCTGGAGCCAGACCTGGCCGAGTGCTTGTCCAGGTGGGCGAGCCAGAAAGCGGATCAAATCCCAGCTCCCCCACCCACCGTGTCACCTTGGGCAGGCCACTTATCCTCTTTGTGCCTCTGTCCCCTTTTTGTAAACAACAACGCCACCTCTCCTGAGGGGTTGCTGGGAGGAAGTTTGGGGGCCAGTGCCTGGCGCAGGGGAAGCAGTGCCCTGAGAATAAGCTGTCATGAAATCACCTCACTCCAGCGCTCACACGGTGGCACCCTCCCTGAGCCCCTTGTCCCAGGACTCAGGAGCCTGCATTCTCAGTGGTGGTGGCACCATCCCTTTGTTCTCATTTATTTTAGGAGCCTTTTCACGCCTGCTTGCAGCATGCCCATCCCAAGCCGCCTCCTCCAGCCGCCCTGCACAGGAAATGCCTACTGTCTTCACAGCAACCTGGGACTCTTGCCAGGGACTCGGTCCCCCCACGCATAGGCTGTGAGGAAGTGGTGCTAGAAATCAGCTTCACGACTGGATGGAGAGATGTAAAGTAAAATTTTCCATGCCTCTCCTTCAACCCCCTCCCTACGTAGTCTAATCTTGGGCACATGGCCTGGACCACAGGTGCTGTCCTCTGGGCTCCAAGGAGATGGTTCCTGAGCTCTGCTCTCCCCCACACGGAGCCCATTGGATGAATGGGATGTTTGCTTCTAGCACAGGCTGTGGGGATATTGGCATTTGTGAGGCCTGAATTTGAGGACGCCTACCCCACATAAACCCCACCTGTCTTCCAGAAATGATACCCATCCTACTTAAATCCATGGCTCCCACTTCCCCTGGGAGTGACATGGCATCTCCTCCCACCCCGCCTCGTACAGACACCCAGAGTGCAGCCGCTCGTCCGGGCTGTGCTCTGAAGCTCCTCAAATGTGTCATGTGCGCTCGCAACCCGGCCTTCGCCCAACACGTTGCCTCTGTCCGGGATACGCCCCCTACTTGACAGCCCGACAAGACCTTTGATGACCCCTACCTACCCCAGTCACCTTCCCTGCCTCCGCCCTCCATAACGACACGAGCCTTCTCACAGGCTGGTCAGGACCCCTCCCTGCCCCCCTTTACTAGGAGGGCGCCTCTCCACTCTTTGGGATCAACTCAGCAATACCTCCCCCAAGGAGCCTTCCCTGCTCTCCCAAGACACAGTTAATTGTCCCTTCTATGTGACAACAGCATCCGTGTTAGCTCTTGTCACAGGCACAGCTAACACCCTCCTTCCCTACCTATGTCCCCAGTAGACAGGGGGTTCCTTGGAGGAAGCGCTGTTTCAGTGTTATGTCCCAACACTGCATGTGGCACGTGGTTGAGGAATTCTTCCTAAAGAAGCCAACGCGAGAGCAGCTCATGCCATCAGGTGGGCTGGGGAGGCCCCTCCAGTGACAGAGCTTGGAGGACTGGTGTCCGCTGGAGGCCCTGAGCCAGGTGGTGGCTGAGGGTTCGTGGGGAAGTTGATTTGAGAGGCTTTGGGTGGAGATGTGGGAGAGAGTGCAGGGCTGGACAGGCCCCGGGCCAGCCACCCTCAGACTGGTGGGCAGCAGCAGAATCACCTGGGCTTGTTAGCACGGGTTGCAGACCACGCCCAGAGGCCTGGTTGGGCCGAGAATTTGCATTTCTAACAGGCTCCCAGGTGATGCTGCTGGTGGAGCAGCTGCTGCTGGTGGTCAGGGGCCACGCTCAGAGCCACAGCACCAGGTGGAGCTCAGAGCCACAGCTCCAGGTGGGGCTCAGGTGACACGGGCGGATTCCTGAAATGCTGAGTTTAGGAGCGTGAGATGCCAGGGGGTGTGCAGGATGGAACAGGAAGTCGTGTAGCTGCAGTGAAACGGCGGCTGTCGCGGCCTCTCGTGACCGCGAGCTGCTCTGCAGTGGCCAACCCCTGTGTCCTCGTGTCTGATTACCCCTCCAGGTGGCGTGTCGCTGAGCTTCCTGGTTTTGGTGACAGGCTGCGCTTCTGTGGGCAGAATTCCAGAGGCCGAAGTCTACAAAATCACCGCCATCGACTTCTACCCGCTCCAGGAAGAGGCCAAGGAGGAGGACCGCCTCAGCGCCCTGAAGAAGATCCTCAACTCGGGCGTCTTCTACTTCTCGTGGCCCAACGACGGGTCTCGCTTCGACCTCACCGTCCGGGCACAGAAGCAGGGCGACGACAGCTACGAGTGGGGGAACGCCTTCTTTTGGTGAGGCCCTGGGCCCCACAGCGGGGCGGGCTCTGCTTGGCAGCTGCGTCCTTGGTCTCCGCTGCGCGTCTTCTCCGGGGTCCTCGCTGAGAGCGGCGAGCCATGCCCGCTTGCTCTCCGCACAGTGAGAGGAAGACGAACTCCCATTCCCCACCCCTGGGGCCAGGGAGCTGTTCAGAGTGGCCCAAGGCGGATTCAGGAACGAAATCTGGGGCAGAGCCAAGAGCCCGAGAGCCAGCAGGCGCCTCCCAGGTTTCTGGGCCTGTGGTCCGTGCTGCTGCTCCAGCAGTCCTGGTTGTGTCCGGCGGACATGTGTCCCAGGCACTGTCCTAAGTTCTCGTCAGCCTCATAGGGGCCGATGAGGTGGGGCCTGTTATCCCCATTTTACAGATAAGGAGACTGAGGCCCCAGATCCCAAACGCGTGGAGAAACTGCGTCACCCTGGCAAGGGGAGGTGCAGTAACATGATAAGACATGTCCTGAAGCCCCCAGACAAAGATGGCTGGATGTCCATATAGGTAGGGTCGTCTGGGTGCTCCTTCCTGGACAGAGCTGGGTGTGAATGACCCCATAGATACGTAGGTTATCTGTTGCCCTTGCTGGATCCTGGAGGTAATGACCCTGATGAATCCTGTGAAAGGCGGGCAGTGATTAGCATCCACTGTGCCCCGCCTGGATTGTCAGTTGGTGCTGTCCCCCTCAGATTTATCAGGAGATGTGTGAGAGCCAGTGAGAAGCAAAAGTGATGAAAATCCTGCTGTAGCAATTGTTCCAAGACACCTCCTGTAACGGGATGTTCATAGAATTCCAGTGTTGGCCTTCGGGGCCACCGCAGCCCCCAGCCCTAAGGCAGGCTCGTTTACATGCTTTATTTGCGCCCCCTCCCTTGGCCCAGAGGAAGTCTCCACCACAATATACATGTTCTTTCCTTGGTGCTTTGGACCCCCCCCCCAAAATTCCTGACTTCCGTTTGAAGAAAGGGGGGGCTTCACCAACCCTTCCACGTGTCCCAGTGCTCTCCACCCCGGCTCCTCTCAGGTTCTCTGGTTTTGAGTTTTCAGGGCAGTAACGTGCTCAAACTTGAAAACACATGTGAATCTCCTGCTGATCCTGTTCAGATGCAGATCTGATTGGGCAGGTCTGGCCGGGGCCCGAGACTCAGCATTTCTAGGACGGTGAGGATGGTGGCACCCCTGCTGCTGGTTCCAGGGCCGCACTGAGTGACGGGTCCGGGGGATGGCGCCTCTGGTTTCATTTTGCAGGGACCAGCTGGTGCCTGTGTCCCTAAAAGCAGCGGAGCTTAGGGACTGAGGGGTGTTTGTGCTAAGGCCACCCGAGCCATGGGCAGCAGAGGTGAGAGGTGAGGTCTCAGACGGCTGTGACATTCCTTGGAGGCGTGACAGGGCCGGAGGGGATACCTGGGGACTCTGGATGCCCCGGCACCTGTGTAACTGCCCTTCTCAGGTCTCCTTCCACCAGCTCTGTGGCTGGAGATTCGAGGCACCCAAAAAACAGGAAGACAGAGCAGGGATTCCCTGAGTGGGAAGGGGGTTGGGAAGGAGGCCCCCTGTGGACACCAGACTCTCTTGAGTTGACCCCGGCTGAGTGGTCACAGGCTTGACTGCCTAAACCCCCCCATTTGGTGCCACATTTTAGGTCTGGACCCACATCTGGAGTCAGATGGGGTCAATGCTGAATGTGGCTGGTGAGTAAGGGGGCGTGCACGGCAGGGTGAGGTCGTACTGGCTGGTTATTGTCCCCACCGATAAGGCTTCTCTGAGCAAATGGCCTGTGAGCCTGGGAGGAAGCACAAAGCTGTTTCCCTTTCTAGAGTGGGGCCCCTCAAAATGCTCCTTCTGACTCTTGGTGACTTGGTGGTGACCATGGCTGTGTGCCTGGAAGACTCTGGGATAGTCTGGAGGCATTGTCTTGATGCCATGTGCAGATTTAATACATTTGTTACTAAGCCTGGTTTATCATCTGAATTTTAGAGAGATGCAAAAGAGGGAAATACGTTTTTGTAGAGGAGTCTTCATGATTCTCCTTTTTCAGGCAAACGAGCACGGTGGCTCCTAGAGCTCAGAAGGGGGTCCCACGTGGCCTCTCCGCGAGGGGGTCTCAGCGCTCCGGTGGCAGCGGCCGTGCTCACAGTCGGGGATGCTAGTCTAAGAGCTGGGGGCCGCTGCTTCTTGGAGAAGCCACCTAAGGTGTCAGGGCTCACAGCACACTTCTCCAGAAACGAGAAAATGCTGCTATCTTTGAGAAGGTCTCCAGGGCAGGACTAGTGCTGCCTTTTTTAAACAAATAGGACACTGTGATCTAGATTTGCTTAATACCCTGTAAGAAAGAGAGAGTCCCCTGACAGTTCCTGCCTCCCAGGGAGCAAGTTAGGGTCCTCAGAACTGCACCGCTCAGGTCCCCTGGGCATGCCTAGTAGAGCCCAGAAGCAGCCCGAGGTGTCCTGGTGCCCACGCACCCCCTCCGAGCCCTCACTTCTCAGAGCAGCCATTTTCTCTGCTCCATGAGCTCGCGTGGGTGTTGGGAAGCTGAGTGACGGAGCTGGGAGGACGATGTGGCTGCCCCCAGGTGCAGCAGTAAAGGTAGGGCCTTCATTAAGAGAGGTGCAAGCGGGCAGGGCTGGGAGAAGACAGGCTCCCAGCTCCACGACCCCAGGGCAAGTGCACACTTCACTTCTCTGTGCCTCAGTTTCCTTATCTGTAAAATGAGGTGAGTGAAAATACCTGTCACATAGCGTTGTTTCGAGGATGGAGTGAGTTAATCCATCCCAAAGCACTTAGAATGGTGCTTGGTGAACTTAATACATGTTGGCTGTTATCCCATCATTATCATGCTGGACACCAGGGTCTCCAGAGGCCCAGAACAATCCACCAGGTATGGAAATACTAGAACTTTTATTTTCATCTCATCCTCTTTTATTTATTTGGGATTGCTTTGTAATTCATATACATCCTGAGGTATGTATATAATTTTTAAAAGCATGCATATATTTAATATTATTTTTATCATTTATTATTATTAATCACAAAACATATGGTTAATTTATTTACTGGTGGGATTTCTGATATAAAACTATAGAGGCCACGGGTCTAAACGGAGGCTCCTCTGAAATTCCCTGTAAGGCACGTGATGGGCTCGCATTCCATGCTTGGCTTCTATTCTCTGATGCCGATGCCGGTAGTGGCTTTGGGAAAGGACTCCTCGCCTTGTCCTGCTGTATGCATCTCAGTGGCCCTGGCTCAGGGTCTCTCAGGAGCCCGCGACTGTCCTGGGTGGCGTGTCCCAGTGCGGAGTTCCCGGGAGCCATGCGCACTCACCTCACGCTGGGAGGGGATGCTCGCCCCACAGGCGCCTCCTCCCTGTTTGCTTTGTGTTTCCCGGAGGATGTGAAGTGGCCTGAGTCGCGGTGGGGCTCCGTTTTGCAGGAACCAGCTGTTGCACCTGCCCCTGAGGCAGCACCAGGTGAGCTGCTGTGACTGGCTGCTGAAGGTCATCTGCGGCGTGGTGGCCATCCGCACGGTGTACGCCTCGCACAAGCAGGCCAAGGCCTGCCTCATCTCGCGCATCAGCTGCGCGCGCGCGGGCGCGCGCTTCCACACCCGCGGCGTGAACGACGATGGCCACGTGTCCAACTTCGTGGAGACGGAGCAGGTCAGTGTGGCCCCCGGTGGCTCGGCGTGCTGCCGCCCACGCACACGTGCTTGTGTTGGGGGTTATTTGAGGCATTTTCTGCTGAGCGCGGCTCCTCACTTGACCGGGAGAAGAGAGCAGCCCTTGGGGCTCCACCTGCACATGCAGCCTCTGGTTCGCTTCGTGGATCTTGGGTTCACGTCTCAGGCTGGGAACATGTGGCTCACCTGCGGCCTTTTCAGCTGAAAGGAAGCAGGGCTTTTTGCCATGATCATGAAGGGTGACAGTTTTTTAGAGAGCAGCCTGCGATGGATGAACCAGTAGGGTTTGAAAATCCTTTTCAGGGAAAAGTAAGTAGATTGATAACGGGAGGGTAAGAGAAGAAACCATTCTCTTTCATCCTGAATCAACGGAGGCTTCATCCTAGATGCGAGTCTCAGCACCGGGGCCGGTGTGACGTCTGCGTGTGGCGCGACCCTGGCGCGCAGCTCCCATGGGCTGTGACCATCTGCTTCGTTTCTCACTGATTTGTTTTCTAAACTCTCTCCTCATTCCTAGAGATGCTGTCTTACTCTTTTTTTTTTTCTCTCTCTCTGACTTGCAATCTGGAGGATAATGCCACTGCACAGACTAGCAGGTGGAATAAATTATAAGAAGAGAAAGCCCTGTGAAAGGCACAGGTGCAAGATGGCTGTGGGTGTCAGGCTGCACACACCTGTGTTTATGGAGTGGTGATGTGGCTTTGCACCCCCTCCTTACTAGTGCAGCTGTGTGTGTGTGTGGGGGGGTGGGGGTTCCTATGAGGACTGTGGCCAATTGATTTCAGCACAGCTTGAGCACCTGCCTTCTGTGTGAGTGGGCACCTGCTTGGGCTTTCAGACGCACGAAGGTGAGGAGGGGCCACGTGGGTCAGACACTGAGGGCCAGGATGGTGGAACAGCAGGGTCAGTTTCTTGCCTGGGACTGTCTGCCCCCCTGGGGATAAACAAGGCAGGTAAATAAATATCTGGATAAAAATGACAGAGAGAGAAAATGTGGTCCCCACATGGAGGCTGCTTTCTTTTTTCTCATATCTGCATGTTGAAAATTACTTCCTTTTGTTCTCATGATCCACCTTCATTACCGCTTTCCATCCCAGTTTACATCCTTGTGTCATTAGCCTCAGCATCTTCCCATTCATCCAACAAATCTTTACTATTTATCACCTGCCGTGGGCTGGGTGCTGTGCTGGGAACTGGGGGCCAAAGGAGCAAAGCCTGTTAGTACAAATCAAATTACCGGTGCCCCGGACCCTGGTCACTGAATCAGGTTCATCGGGCGTCACCCTCTGCCTCGCTCTCTCTCTGGCCCTCAGGCCGACGGTCCCTCATCTGCTCCTCTTGTTTTGTGCTCCTTGGATTTTTGGATTTCAACCAATTTTTAAAAATTGGAGTCTCATCTACTGTATCTTATCAAGTCATTGGAAAATCATCTGCCCTCCACGTCACTATTCTTTCAGTTTTAACTGAAAAACCTAAGAGGGCAGAGCAGTCTCCTCAGGCAGCTGTAACAAACGGGAGACTTACACAACCGAAATTCATGCTCTCACAGTTCTGAAGACCAGAAGTCCAAAATCCAGGTGTAGCCTGCCAGGCTTCCTCTGCAGGACCTGGGGGATCGCCTCTTCCCGCCCCGGTGGCCCCGCCGTGGCAGCATTACTCCACTCTGCTGCCTCCCCCGTTCTTACAAGGACAGTCATGTTGGATCAGGGCCCTCTCTCCCTACTCCTCTGTGACCCCACCTTAACTAATGACATCTGCAATGACTGTTTCTAAAGTCGGTCACATTCCGAGGTGCTGGGGGTTAGGACTTCATCATATCTTTTGGGGGGACACAATTCAACCGTAACTAGGATGTATTCTGAGGATAAAGGGCTATGCTAAATGCAGCACATGTAGTTTTATGAAAACTCTCTCTTGTCTTTGCTTTTCTCCTGTTCCTACGGACTAGGGTTGAGGCCTTGGCTCTGGTTATTTCATCTGCGTGTGCCTGGAGATTTGTGTTTGTCTCCAGTGTGACCAGTTTACTTGCTGGGGCTCAGAGACAGGGTCCTTGTCCCCTCCTGCACCTTGTAGACAGCCCAGCAAGGCCTTAGAAATACCGATGGCCTGCCCCTCTGCCTCATGTGGCCCGCAGCCTGGCGCTACTTAAATGGCCTCCACATGCCTCCCTTCTTGGGATCGGGGAGGGATTTCTTGGCTCCTGCCCGCTTTGTGGCCTTCCTGGTTTGTGTTTTCCCTCCCTTTTCCTCCTCTGGGCTCTGGATCAGATGGGGCTGCTCCCTCTTTGAAGCCTTCACCTGACCCTGCTCCAGGAGCAGCAGACAAGCTGACAGGCAGCCAGACCCCCACCCCCATGTGGTGTCTGCCCAGAGACGCAACCAGCCAGGACCATGGCCCTGCCTGGGACCAAGAGGTGGCAACTTGACCTTGCAGTCATTTCCTTTTCACCAGACACACAGCCAGCAGGAGGGCCGTGGCCTGTACCCAAAGCAGTTCTTTGGGGGGCGCATACATTTCAGGCTACTGCTGATGGACCACATGCTCTTCACTGTGGCAATAGGAGTCTACGATGATTCACGCCGTCAGAGAGCCCCCAAACCTTGTGACCACCAGGGCGTGTGGGAGAGCAGGCGACCCCAGGGGGGAGGGGAGGAGTCAGCCCCCAGAGCCTACTCCAGGGGTGTGTCCTTGTTGGCAACATGGGAGCAAACCCCGGGTCCCTAAGCTGAGCTTGACTGTGAGTCTGCCCAGCGGGACGCAGCAGGAACAATAGACAGCTGGCCCTGGCAGGCAGGCTGCCCCCTGGGCGTGCCCCCCACAGTCAGTGCTCAGCTGCGAGACAGCTGCCTGGAGAGACAGAGACGACAGCGACAGCAGAGCACAAGAGGGCAGGGAGGGGCCTGTGGACCGTGCCAGGTGGGGCGGCGTGAGGGAGAGGAAGCCACAGCTAGGATGGAGGAGATCCTGAAGGCGGAGGACGCCCAGTGGTACACGTGGGACCCAGCGCTCCACATAGGGTCAGCCCCGCTCCAGCAGTGCCCTCCGCAGGCAGCTGTCTCCTTGTCTAGAATGTTTACAGAGGCAGGAAGAGCAGAGATGGCTGAAGGGACACAACTGCGCCCAGAGGATGAAGAAACTTGTGTCTCTGCCACTGGTACAAGAGGGCCACTCGTGGGGTCGTGGGATGGTTTTGTTATGCACATTGTAGCAATAGAGGTGCTTAGGTTGATCCAGGTTGTTGTTGGTTTGTTTGTTTTAAATACAAAAATGTTTCTCTAAGTGGAATATACTTACCGATGTTCCTGCCATTGGTAATCCGTGTAGCAGCTATGCCTTCCCCTCCTGGCCACCTGCCAATCAAGGTGCTTTTTTTTTTTCCAATTACAGTTGACATTCAATATTATATTAGTTTCAGGTATACAGCATAGTGGTTAGACATTTATATAACTTAAAAAGCGATGCCCCCCAGTAAACCTAGTACCCATCTGACACCATACATAGTTATTAGCATAGTATTGACTATATTCTCTATGCTGTGCTTTACATCCCCATGACTATTTTGTAACTGCCGATTTGTACTTCTTAATCCCTTCCCCTTTTTCACCCAGACCCCTCCCATCTGGCAACCATCAGTTTGTTCTCTGCGTCTGTGAGTCTGTTTCCGTTTTGTTTGTTTACTTTATTAGATTCCACATATAAGTGAGATCATAGGATAATCCGGGATTGGAGCCCGGGGGGAGGCTCAGCCTGCAGGTGTTGCTGAGCTCCGGGAAGTGTGGACGCACCGTAAGCGTGAGGAAAGCCTGCCCGCTCAGGCTGCGGTGATCTGATGGGATCCCGGGAACCCGGCATGTCTTGCTCCCTTGAGTGTGTGGAGCCATGACTGCGAGCCCCTGGGCTGGGATGGTGTCACCGGGCAGTGTGCCTTGCTTATGATGGGAGAGTAGATTGTGCATTGCATCCTGAGACCTTCAGATCCAGGTGATTCCGTGGGCAGGGTGGGGTTGATTCCTTCAGGTAGCATGCTGTTGCCTGCTTTGTGACCTGACATTTGTAGAAACGGCAGCCTTTGAAACTCAGTCTCCTTGCCCAAGGGTGGCAGGCAGCATCTTTGGGAAAACTGGCACTGAGCCCACAGCAGGAAGGAGCCTCGGCTGGGACAGCTTGGCCCTCTTGATGGTTGCCTGCAGGTCACCTCTGGCCTGGGCTCCCTGCTGTGGAAATGAGACTCCTCAGACCCAAGCCCGCAGGCATTTGGGAGTGAGAGTCCTATAATAAATGCAGGAAGACAGCTGATGAATTGTCGTGTGTCATCCTCAAACAAATGACCAGACTATACAAACAGCAGACTGGTTCCTTGATGAGGGCCTCTCTGTAGGCAGCCAGGCCTCTCCTGAATTTGGTGCTTAGGGAGCCAGAAAAGGGAGGTACTTTCAGCACCGTCCACTTCTGCCTGTAACGTTTTCCCTGGTAGGGATGAGCAGTCTTGATCCTCCAAAGCAGACTGTATGTGTGTGCATGTTTGTGTGTGTGTGTGTGGGATATATGTACATGCATGGTGGTAATGTGCGTTTGTGCTCTGTGTGTGTGTGTGTGTGTGTGTGTGTGTGTGTGTGTTGTGCGCGCGCGCATGTGCGCAGATGTACACGGCATCCCCATGTCCCTGGGAGGAAGCCTTGAGTCATACCTGGTGGGCCTGCTCTGTGGCCGTGACTCATGATGCAGAAAAACAAAACCAACAAAGTCCCCTCAGTCTACCTACCAAAAGAAGAAAAGGTAACTATTTGGCTACTGAAGATAAGGCCCCTGATCAACCCAGGGAGGTTAGGATGGCTGCATATCCTCCCAGGAATACAGGCTGGAAAGAGCTGGTTTGTAAACACCTCATCTGGGACTAGAGGTTCAGCAAAAAGCCCCTTGGATAAAAGTGAATATATTCAGTCGTGAGTTTTCCTGCTTCGCCCCTTTCTCTTTATGGTTGTGGGGTTTCTGTTCCCAGCACTCTGTGAAAAGGGCTGCTCAGAGTTGCCAAGTCCAGGGGTCCCAGGCTGGTCTGTCCCGGCTACCACGTGGTCACGGTGGACGCCTGAAACACTGCTGTTCTGCATCTGTCCTGTCCTAGTGTCTCTCTTGCCACTGTCCCCCAAGTGCAGTGAGCCTGCCCAACCTCTCTGTGTCCTCTGAGGGGCCTCATCCACGCTCATGGGACAAGCTTTCCTGGCCTGAAGGGATCACATTCCCTCATTTACTCCTCGCTCTGTGACCAGGTGACATTAACTCCATTGAGAGAGGGAAGCTGAGGCCCAAAGTGGACATTAAGGGACATTCCTAGGGTCCTTGTTGGGCAAACAGGAGTGGGACGCAGGGTGGTGTTGTCCCAGAGCCCACGTGCCAACGTGCTTTCACTCTCCAATCCTGCGTCTCTCCCCCAAGCGCCCCAGATGCCCCCCCCCGTCAAAATGACAGCTGTGGGGTGAGGCGTCGAATCTCCCGCTAGTGTTAAACCCGTGTTCTTTCACCCAGAAAGGAAAGCACAGTAATTTCATCACTAGTGTTTGATGGTCAGCGTCGTCCTATCACTGGAAAGAAAGCAGGTGGTCCTGATGAGAGGATGGGCCGCAGAACCAGAGTGCTTTGTGCGGGAGGGAGAATGGAGACATTGGAGGCATCTTTCCTTCTTGCCCCAAAGGCGGGGTTTGCAGTGGTGGGACGGCTGTCGGTGTTTTCTGAGGCTGGTGCAAGAGGGCCAAGGACGAGCGCCGGAGGCAGAGCTCTTAGCTGGCGTTCCCTGAAGGGGAGGGACTAGTTCCACCCAAGTCAGACCCTGGGCACTGTTAAGAGTTGTCTTCACAGAGAAATGCTGGCTGGGTTGGTTTCTTTCTCAGCAGTCCGGACCGTGCAGCTCACACATGCCGCTCCGTGGTTTGCTCTCACCCTCCCTGTAGCCGACTGTACCTGTAATAGTTTAAACAACCTGCGACGTTCTTGCGTTTTTGTCAGTAGAATGATGGAGGGTAGCCAGTTTGCTGGTTGTCAGTACCTGGAAACAGGCAGCAACTTCTTAACCCAGTGCTTTTTCCCATTGGAGCTTAAGGGATAGGATGTCAGTTCAGCAGTATAGCTACCGGGCTCGTGTAATTCCTGCGGTCCAGGCAGCCTGCGGGTCTAATGTTCAAGTCCTCCACTGCAGAATTACTAATGCATGTGCGATCTGAGCGTGATCTAGCCTCATGGAAAGCTACCCTGTAAGGGAGCAGGCTGGTAAGAAATGGAAAGGACCAGCAGCATCGCCCAGGCCGGCCCTGCCAGGCCAGGGTAGAGTTACGCAGATAAAGGGCAATGCATCTGAGAACTGCCACAGCCTCCCCCTTGTCATGCTCAGGACTGTACTTTTTGTCCTTTTAAAACTCCCTTGCACGACGATGTCAGTGGGGGCCTGCAGGCAGAAGAGGAGCTGATACACCCTGGAATAACTGGGTGGGCGTAGGGAGGAGAGACTAGTCTTTGATGTGTAAGTATCATCTGTGCAGGTGCTAGCACACTGGCAGTTTGTGGAGCTGTGTTGCCTGTGTTGACTTAGTGGCATGTTTAAGAACACAGTGGCACAGGGCCAGGACCAACTACAAGTTCAAGATGAGTCTTGACACGCATTGTCAAGTACAGGGCTGACGAGTGCTGTCAACTGCGCCTTTTGACTGTACGTCGTTCCTTTCATTCATTCAGTCCTTTTCCACTTGCTCTCTGCTGCTCAGCCAATTAACAAGGTGAAAACAGAGGGCTCTAAGGAAAATCTACCTTAAATCCCAGAGCACATGAGCTTCTGTTCCCAAAATGGGGTGGGGAGCATTGCTAGGCTTGTCAGGGAGCTCAGTAAGGTTGTGCAAGTTCCCTGCCGGCGGCAGCAAACTTCGCCGAGGCTGGTCTGCAGCCAGCATGCCCGCGAGTGCCCTGGGCTGGGTCGGGCCGGGCCGGGGGGTCAGGGAGTGGCACGCCCTGCGCGGGACAGGAGCCCAGGGCCTGAAGTCCGCTGTCTGCCCTTCGTTCCGGTGTCGGGTCTCAGGCGGCCGGATCCCGTTACCGGCCCAAGACATTCGGTTTCACTGAAGAATACTTTCCCTTTATGTTTCCTTGTGGTGCAGACGATTTACATCGATGATGGCGTGTCGTCTTTTGTCCAGATCAGAGGCTCGGTTCCGCTGTTCTGGGAGCAGCCAGGGCTTCAGGTGGGTAATTAGAAAAAAAAGCACGTCCTTGTGTGTTATTATTGTCTGCCCCGCTTTCTCTTCTGCACAGCTGTGGTTTCTTTTAACCATGTTTCTGTCATTGCACAGTTTCTGGTCTTTCTCCTCAGCCCACTTGGCTTGAGCTGAGCTGTCAAAGTGTGCACGCAAGTGTGTGTGTGTGTGTGTGTGTGTGTGTGTGTGTGTGTGTGTGTGGTGTGTTTCTGTACAGAAACATAATTGTGTGTAGTTTTCTGGCTGTGAGTTCTCTGTTGACTCAAGTAAAGAGGGAAGGTGCCTGCCGATAAGTGAACCACATCATGTAATTGACTAGAATTACCTTAAGTTAGACCCGAAAGTCACTGTACTGACAAGGTGGCTAAAGATGTGTTTTAAGAGTTGTGACTGTCCTGAGGCTTTGAAGGGTTCTCAGGGCCAGGCAGCACCTCTGGTGTTCGGAGGTGCCTGTCGTGGGGCCACGTGAGAATCGCACAGAGCTTTCTCATGATTTCTAAAAATACACCTTGCCATCCCAAACAGGGCCTTGGGCAGTGCCAGAGGTATTTGGCACTCTGTCTGCTGGGAAGAGTTCAGGGTGTGGTGCTGGGTTCCAAGAACACATTTGGCGTCAGTGGACCGGCTGCCTCATTCAGTGAGTTCCTCCCCCAGAGGGTCACTGGCCGAGTGACTTCAGGTTGCTCAGCACCAGTCCCCACCATCCTCCCTGGCCTGAGGTGACATTGTGCACGGGGTCTGCCTGGGCCTCTGTCACTTCAGCTCTTCTTACCCAGAGCTCCGTGTGACAGCCGTTGGGCTGTCAGCCGGTGACTGAAGAGGCTCCGGGCCATCTGCCAGGTTCTTGGGGGTGTTTGACATGCTGGGTCTTACCCGGCCTTTGCCGTGACCCAGGGTCAGCCGTAGACGCTTTGTCCTCATGATTGTCATCACGTCGGCCGTGGTAATGAACCATGTCAGCTCTCAGAGTGAGATGGATGGGCGAGAGTCTCATTTGGGCTCTGAGTTCTGTGGGAGGGGTGGGAAGCTTTATCAGCATTCAGTCCTTCCCTTCGGAAGGGACGATTAAGATGTATGAGGGCAGCTGGTGGCTTATGCGGTAGCAGAGAGAGCAGCACTCCTGGGGATGATTGTAACGTGGAAAATTCCTCCGAAGCCTATCAACAAAGACTGTGTGTGTTTGTTGAGATATAATTTACATACCATAAACTTCACCCATGTAAAGTGTACAATTCAGTGGTTTTTAGTGCAGTCACAGAGTTGTGTAACCGTCACCATAATCTAATTTTAGAGCACTTCATCACGGCTGAGAAACCGTGTCCCCATTAGCAGCCACTCCCCGTTTTCCTCCCAGCTCTCACTGAGGCCTAAGCAACTAACTGTCCATCTACTTTTCGTCTCTATAGATTGGCCCGTTCTGGACAGTCCAAAAGGGCTTTTGAAACTTGGTTTTCTTTAGATTTGGCGTTTCCTTCTGAAACTTGTGGAATTCTGTATGTAGAGAAAAAAAAAAAAGACAAAGAACAAATGAGTAGAGTACAAAAAGGGAAAGGGGGAGACCAAGTCACATTTCACATAAAAACTTGTAAGAAATCCACAAACTGGGGGATACTGGGGAAGGATGCTCTGAAATTCTTCCATTTCACCCCTGCACCCCATTCAGGGGTCCCTCCCTTGGGATCCCTGAGAGGTTGACCTTCCTGCTGAGCTCGAAGCCACAGCTTGGGACATGATTTGGGATGGATGCGGCAATTCGCAAGTTCCTCGTTGCAGTGCTTTCTGTGTCCCGGTTAAACAGCCCTAGAGTACATCTGATTCCTCAGACCTTCGAGGAGGAGTCCTAGGGGTCTCCGTTTTGTCTTCTCCGGGACCTTCCAGCCACTTTGGTCATCCTCAGTCTCCATGCCCTGGTCTCCCTCTTCAAAAAACAAAGCAAAACTCGTTTGTCATTCCCTATTCAATTCTGGTCTGCGCTGTCACCCTCCCTCGGCACAGCCTAACCTGCCGTGGTGCAACTGCCCCTCAGTCTGACATGGACACTATCCGTGGGACCTGGTAGCTTCCGTGTTTCCTTCAAAATAAGTTTCAGAAGGCTTTGTGTTCGTTAAAGGATTTGCTAACCTTTGGGTCTGATAACCCGTGTGTTTCCTCTAAATCCATTCGTCCATCATCAAAGAAAGGTTAGGCTGTCTTCATAGGGGACCAGGAGTGCAGCTTTCAGTGGTGAGCTGTGGTCTCTCTCCCTGAACTATATAAATAGCAAGACTGAGGATTGATTCTGGTTATTTTTCTCAATTTTGAACTCTTTCCCTTCCTTCTTCACTCAGTAGATGAAAAGGGCAAACGTTTTTGGATGAATAGCTTGCATATTTTTTTTTTTAAGATTTTTTTTTAATTGGGGAATTGGGGGGATGGGAACAGTGCTGGGGAATTGGGGGAAGGGGAACAGACAAGTTGCTGTCGTTTTGTTCTTTAATCTAGTTGTGGAGGACGTTGCTTCACTGGCCCAAGTTGGCACCATCATTGCGCTCTTCCCGGGCGAGGCAGATCAGTCGCCGGCTTCTGGACAGCTGCTCACTGTGGCTGCTGGCCGCTCACGCTGGCTGCTGGCTACATACGATAGCCCATGGCAACCCACTGCCACAGGGGCTGCAGCCTATGCCGTCGCCAGCGACTCACGGCAGCCCAGCTCCAGGTTGAGCTGTTGTTCAGCATCTTAGCTGTGGAGGGCAGTGTCACTGGCTCTCATATGTGGGATCCGAACCGGGGCCCTCTGACATCCCAAACCAGTTCTTAACCATTGCACCACTCAGCTGGCCAATAGCTTGCATTTTTAAGTTGCAATGTTGAATCCCCTTGGGGCTGTCCCAGGGAACCTGTGAGCCCTGCCAGGGATGGGGGATGGAGGGTGGGGGCTGGGGATGGGCAGAGAGGACTGTGGGATGATGATTTGCCTGAGAGTTTTCGCAGGAATCATATCTTTATTAGAAACTCTTAGACCCTGAGGCCATTTCTAGCAAACGTGCCTTTTTAATAATTTCATCTTTACCATGTAAATAGGTGGTATAGTTTATAAATAGCCACATTGAAATTTTATTAAAGCTAACTGCTCTCCTGGTATTGTGAGTTATAGCGTATACAGAGGGCGCCACAAAAATGTATATACATTTTAAGAAAGGAAAAAAACTGTATTAAAATTGTAATACTCAATATATACTGATAACAAAAGATGAATACAAGTCACGCTTGATTTCTGCAATTACAAGAGGTGCTCAAAGTAGCTACCATCAGCATAATTTTAACACAGGTTTTTCCTTTCTTAAAATGTGTATATATTTTTGTGGCACCCTCTGTATTTTGTACATATTGTTAGTTTGTTGAAGATTTGTCCCCTTTGTCACTTAAGAGCCTTCCTTCCTGGTAACATGCATATATGGACACATGTCTTGCAAAGGTGAGTTAGGCCTGTGTGTTGGAGCTTCGTATGACTAAATCAGCTGGAGGAGGACGCGAAGTTGATTAGTCCCTGTGCTGCCCCCACCTCGCTGCTCTCGCCTCCTGCTTGTCAGAGACTGTTTACGGAGCTCTTGGATGCTTGCTGCTGTCTGTGCTCATTTGTGTGGTTGCTACCTTTCTTTGTTCCAAAATGTGAGACGGCTTGTAAAACAACAGTTTCAAAAATAATGGAGCCGTCAGGGTGAGGGGGGAAAAAATACTTGGAGTGAAAACGAACTGAAGCCAAGATAAAAAGTTGGGCTGCGGGCCTTGCCTGCACAAAGCTCCTGAGCTCACAGCAACCCCCACCCCCCGAAACAAGATGGCTTATCGCCTGATTCAGAGATTATGCTTGGAAGTTACGTGGACCTGGGTTCCAATTCAAGGATATGGTTCCCACAGAGGAACCATATACTTTCGAAATGCTCTTATCTCAAAAAAAAAAAAAAAGTCCAGAAGTTACCGTTGCTAAGCCTCAGGTTACCCTTCTGTAAAATGGGGCTCACAAAAACCACCTCAACGGGACATAGAGAAGAATTACATGTAATGTAGATTAGAATTTAGCCCAGTATCTAGAACCTAGAAAGCAGTCAGAATGGTAGCTTTTACTATTATGAATAACATAAATGATAACATCTGGGAGACTAAAGTACAGTGGCGTTAGGAGAAGCATGACTATTTGCATATGGAAAGTGGAAGTTTCCACCTGAGTCTCCAAGAGGACACTGTGAGGTGTAGTGACAGCGTCCTCACGTCTCCATCAGTACGCAGCACAGGGGCCAGTCTCCTAGGCTGCTCCATGTCCCAGCCCTCACAGACACCCAGAGTAAGCCGTTTATTCATCCCCCAGATGCCCTCGGAGCATCTGTGAGGTATAGCCCCTGACGTCAGATACAGCCTTTGGGGAGGAGGCTACCGGACATGACAGTGTTGTGTTAATAGAGCCCGTGAGAAAGGCTACTGTGGGGAGGGTCAGCTCACCCAGGCTGAGGGCGGGGTCTGAGCTGACTTGGGAGGGATAGGCTGGAACCCCCAGGCAAGGAGGGCTGGCCTTGCAGAGGGAACCACAGATGCAGAGGTCCTGGCACATGCAGAGAAGTGCGCTGGCCTGGCTGCCTGAAGTCGCAGGCATGGGACGTGGCGGGAGGTGAGACTGGAGAGGCAGGCAAGGACTTGTGTGTTCTGCTAAGGAGGCACATTTCCCCCCAGGAGCCGCTGAGGCATGGTGCCCAAACTGTGCTGCACGTTAGCATCACCGGGACAGCTTAAAACTCCTGATACTCAGGTTGCATGTCATCCCAATTAAATCACAATGTTGGGGGTGGCGGCCAGGCATCAGTACTTTCTGAAGACCCCCTAGCTGACCCCAGTATTCAGGAAGACTTGGGTATGCTGCTAAACCAGTTTCCTGGAGGCCAGGAGGGAGGAACCCTGATGTGGAGCATTTGCCCGTTGCTGTGGTGTGAAGACTCCCTTCACAGCCAGTTTCAAGCTACCAGCTTGACATCCCTGAACCGGGAGCTGGGAAGAGCTGCTCAGGCAATGGACTTGTGAGCTGGTGGGGTCTGGCTACCACTGGACCACGGCAATGACGGGCTTCCAGGGGTGGGCGACATGATTACACGTAAGTGAGACAGGTTTCAGCTTGGAGGGAGAAGACTGAAGGTGAAGACCCCAGGTGGGACAGTTTCAGCAATCCAGGCGAGAGATGCCGGCATCCTTACCTAGGGGAGGGGCAGTGGGTGCCAGGAGAGGCGCAGATGCCCTCGGGATGTGGTTGTGGGACTCGCCTAAGTGCTGGTGTAGACCACACTTTAACTAACAGCCAGGCCGTCTGGAGATGTTGGTTATTCTCATGCACCTAACTCCGCAGGGTCTGTGGCTTATAGGATTGACCTGACGGCTCAGGGAGCAGGTGGGAGTGATCGCCCAAGTGTCCGCCTGGCCAGGGGAGGAGGGAGGCAGGCTACACAGTGCCAGTGCCAACGGTGGCTTCATTCCAGCCCCGACTGACGCACCCTCGGACACATGGTGGCTTCAGGACTAGGTGACAGCAGAGAGGACAGATGCAGGTCAGTGTCAGAGCGGGACAGAGGAGGAGGCAGGGCCGGGGGCAGGACGTGAGGCCTTAGCCCGCCAGACTAAAGGGATGAGGGAGGCGGGGCGACCTCCCGTGAGGATGTCTGCCCGGGGTCCTGTCCACGTGAGGAGGTGAGGGGGACGCAGCCGTGGGCAGGCTAAGCCCGGTCGCTGAGTGCCCCGTGGCTGTGCAGGCGTGGACACTGCACCCGCAGCTGCTCATTTCCGACTGCCTTAGCCCGCACGGCCATTGCAGCCTGGGCAGAAGGGGACGGAAGAGGAAGGTGAGTAAGTCAAAGCCAGCGTTTCTCATACTTGAATGCTTTAGAGCGTGTGTGTGCACGCACACACGCACATGCAGGCATCACCTGGAAGCCTTTGTTAAAACAGATTTCTGGCCCCACCCCCAGAGATTTTCCTTTAGCCTGTCCGAGGTGGTGCCCAAGAATTTGCATTTCTAAGAAGCTTTCCTGGAATGCTGCTGCTGCTGGTCCAGGGAACACACTTTGAGAATCACTCGTGTCAGGGATCTTTATTGCCCTGGTCGTTCACTGGGTGGTGCCCTTGACTTCGTAGTGTTGCCAGATGGCTTGTCATCACGTTGGATAACTGCTGTAGGGGACAGGCTATGCCTGTGGCAGTCCTGCCTGGCAGCATCCACATGGCTGGGCATCCAAGTCTGGGGTGAGAGCGGTAAGCCAGAGGCATCGGAAGGGACGTGCTCTGGCCCAGGGGGGCTGTGCCCTCTCCTGCTGTGGACTGCTGCTTCCCGTCTGGTCCCCGCTGCGCCTGCGTCCCTCTGTTGTGGCATCTTGCCGTTCCACTGCGTGCTCTCAGTACGTAGGGGCACAGTTTCCGTCAGATAAATGTGTCAAAAGCCTGGAAGAGTGTCTGTTTCTAGGTTTTGCCACAGATCCCCCAGTTGGGTGGCAGTCACCAGGCAGGGAGTTCAGGGTCCCCCGTCTCCTTCCGGTCTTTCCCCCCCGTGTTGACCGGGTGTCAGGGTGTGCTCACCAACTCAGTCCTCGACGGAGTATGCCATTTGTAATGGGACTTAGGTGACTTTTAGGAGGCAGGGAGTTTAGAGCCTAGAGATGGGACACTTCTGAGTCCAGTCGTCCGTCACTGAAATGCCTACCTCTTTAGAAGAAACCTTGATTGGGCTGGGACTCAAGGAGAGACAGTTAGACACAGCCAGTAACAGAGCTGTCACGACTAAAAACCAGGCCTCTGAGCCCTGAACCCGTGTTTTTCTTGTCTCCCCTTACTGTGTTCCCATGGGAACGATTCTAAAAACAGCTGCAGCTTGTTTCTGAAGCCGGGGAGATTTCTTGTGATGACTGGAAGGACTGATGCGGAGCAAGCAGCCCCTTCTCCTGGGTTTTGGCCCTCAGGGATTTCTTGGAGGGTGGCTGAGAGGAACAGAGACCGCGTTTCCGCAGGCACCTTCCTCATAAATTCAGAAAAAAGACAGGAGCTGACTTGCCTCAAAGTGCAGGACTGAGCAGTCTTCTCAGAATTCAGGGGCTGTGCAAGTTTTTGGAATTAAGCACCCCATTCCCTCAGCCAGCTAGGGACGGCCATTGGGAAAAGGGGAGCAGAATAAATCCAGCAGGAAAATGAAGGTGTTTTGCAGGAGCCTGTCTTCCGAGCTCCCAGGATATCTTAGGACCCAAAGGGTTTGGGGACTTTTATTTGTAGAATCACTTGGATAGACAAACTGAATCGCAGTAGTTTCTAAATCTATTGCTGAGGAACCAGTTTTCTAGATGGGTACTTTCCTCGAGTATGAAGAGGGACACCTACATGCATTGCCTGCCATGTGAGGAGCTATAAAATAACACTTGATACATATTCGTAACAATGACGCCTGATCATGTGGATCAATCCGGTGACACCGCTTTTACAATGCTCAATGACAGGCAAACCTAAACAATACACTTTAAGAAGCTTTTTGATCTTGAAATAATTTCAGACCCACAGCAAAGCTGTAAGAGCAGCAGGGAGAACTGCCATGTGTCCTTTACCCAGGTTCACTAAATGTCACCATCTTGCCACACACACATATGCTGTTTGCTTCCTGAACCACTTCAGGGAAGGTTACACACATCGTATCTCTTTACTTCTTAGTATGTTAGAATGTTTCTCCTAACAGCAAGTACCTCCTGTTCCATCACCACAGTATAGGTACACATTCAGGAAATGGGACATTGACACAACACCTTAATCTGACCTGCAGTCCGTAGTCTGGGTTTAGCCACTGTCCCAGTGATGTCCGTCATGGCACCTTTCCCCCTGGCTCCCGGTCCAGGCCAGGATCACACCCACCTTTAGCTGTCACATCTCTAGTCTCCTTTAATCTGAGTCAGTTCCTCTGCCTTTCTGTCTCTTGTGACGTTGACAGTTTTGGAGAATGCAGGCCTTTTTTTCCTTAAATCGAGTGTGCCTCATCTTGGTGTTATGATTGGGGTCAGGGTGTGGATTCCTGATGCCATGTCCTTCTCAGTATGTGCCGTCGGGAGGCCACAGTGTCCCTCTGCCCCGCGATAGTGCTGTTAATTTTGATCACCTGGACAAGGTGCTAATGTTTCTTCACTTATAGTTAATATGTTTTCTTCTTCAACTAATAAGCAATCTGTGGGAGACTCTTGGAGACATCTTCCTCATCAAACTCTCCCCTAACATTTATCATCAACCAATGATTTTTGCTGAACAGTTCTTTGCTATGATGGTTATAAAATGGTGATTTTCCACCTCTCTCTCCACATCTTATCAGTTGGTATTCTGCTGTGAGGAAGAGCCCTCCCTTCTGCCCGTCCTCCTGTCCCCCCATCCTCCTGTCCCCCCATCCTCCTGTCCCCCCATCCTCCTGGTCCCCCATCCTCCTGTCTCCCCATCCTCCTGTCCCCCCCATCCTCCTGACCCCCATCCACCTGGCCCCATCCTCCTGCCCCCCCATCCATCTATCCACCCAGCTCTCATCTGTATAGTCATGGAGTCCCCTTTCATTCTTCAGGTTATATTCCATTACTGTCCTTATATAGTTTAATGTTCACATTGTCCCAGATTTGTCCAGAGATACCCCCTTCAAACTGGCTCCAATAACAATATATATTTTTACATTTGTTTTGTAGACTTCCAGTGTGTAACAGCTAGTTCTAAACAATAAGGCAAATTGGTTTTAGGGGCAGTCGAGGCCCTGTTGTTGCAGGGGAGGCTGGGAGATGGTCTCTCTCCTGTTGGCTTAGCTGCACCTATTACCACGGAAGGGTTTGCAGGCCTGATGCGGGCCGCATGTCTTACCCTGGAGTTCCTCTTCTCCCTGGAAGCAATCCTGCGGCATGGTCCACGCTACAGTTAGGGCTGGGCTGCAGCAGAGCCAGGCTCTGACTTCCGGACCTGAGTTCAGGGCCCAGCCTTCCTGAGCTGGGAGGGGCCACAAGGGGGCTGGGGCTGGGCTTGGACTGGGCTGCATTGGGCCAGGCTGGCAGTGAGGGGGGAGTGGGAAAACCATTGCTTCCTGGGTTTGCAGAGCAGGAGGAATCACTGGTGTTATTTCTCTTTGCTTTAGGTTGGTTCCCATCATTTGAGACTCAACAGAGGCCTGGAAGCCAATGCCCCAGCTTTCGACAGGTAGGGTCTTCTGACACCAACCTAAGCCTGTCATCCTTAGGGGTCTTTTTCCCATCAGACAGCACCACAGCGGGCAGAGTACAGCTGGAAGGAGAGGACCCCAAGCCCTGGATCCAAACCGGCCCTTTACTTTGGTCCTATATGCAAGAAGGGGCTTTCCAAAGTGAGATTTTACCTGCTCTCAGGTATCCCTGAACGTTCCGTAACAAATGCTCAGGTTACACTCTGCAATTATTTTATGTTTTCAGTTTCTTCTGCAATGAAGCTTTATCCATTTGTCCTGGCTAGTAAGGGATCATCTAAATTATAGGACATTTGTAGCTGTTTGTTTTTGTTTTAAAAGTAATATTTTCCCAGGTTTTAAAAAGTTACCACATAGAAAGATAAAAAAGTGAAAAGTAAAAGTCCTCTAACTCCCAATTCCCACTACTAGAGATTTTACTGTTAGTTTTTTATGTATCATTCTAGAAAAAGAAAATGCATGTACATAGTTTATTTTTAAAAAAACACAAATTGGATCATAACACTTAGTGTTGTACAACTTGCTTAAGAAAAGTCACTGCTAACCTGAACTGGGAGTAATTTGAATTTGAAATGGTTAATAGCTTCCTAAAATATTTACTTTTTCCATCTAAGTACTAAATTCTAAATGTATCATAGTGAATGTAATACAAATTCAAAAGTAATTTTTTGACTTTGAATCATTATATTATACCTGAGGCTTCGTTTGGACTTTGAATTTGTGTGCTGCCTTTTTCTTTACCACAGACTGGTAACACCGGCCCACCTGTGACCCCCATTAGCCTGTACAGACTGTGGGCTTTTACTGGAAAGAGTGGAACCTATTTGTGAAAACGCTCTTGCCTTTTTTCTTTTTTTTAACACTATTGATCTGTTCTACGCACGGTGTACATGGAGTCCTTTCCATTGACGTTGATCTATGTTAAACGTCTTAGAAAATAGTAAACATGTAACTGAAAATGAAATTCTCCCTGAGCTGACCAGAAGCAAAAGGGAAGGGCATGCTGGCTTGTTTCAAAACGCTTCATGTGTTTATGAGCTTCGAAAAAAAATTTTTTAAGAGTGTTTACGTAGACTTACAATTGTTTAAATCCTGTTAGTGTGTAGGGTGTGTGTCCGTCTGTCTGTCTTTGTGTGTACATGTACCCGGAAGCATAAGCCCTCCCCTTTCTCCCACGCACCCCTTCTGTAAATCTAAGGTAAACTCAGTCTCGTCTGTGAATCACCAAACACCTTTCTGAGACCGTAACTCCTTTCATAGGCAGCCGCTGCTTAAAATCGTGGCTGACGGTAAGTTTCTCCTTTAATGCTCTCTAACCGAGAAGTTTAACTAGAGCTGGGCCCCTCACATTCCCCGTGGGACGGGCCCCTGTTCTCATGGTTGTTACTAACCGTGTCGCTCGCATGTGAGAGTAGTATTTGGAAGTGAGATCACATGCTTCTAATGGACCTTGGTGCGGTTCCATGGGCTGTGTCACCTGAGGGGCAGGGCTGTGTCACCCCCTGGAGGGGTGCCCTCAGATATCTGAGACATCCCAGGGTTCTCAAGAGTTTCTCATTCTTTGGTGTGCTTGGTTCGGAGTAAATCCTCCCTCCATCTCCATGCCAAAACCCCCTTTACATGGGTAGTTTTTGTTTGTTTGTTTTTTGTTGTTTTTTTAAGGAGGGCGCCGCTCACGGTGGCCCATATGGGGATCGAACCGGCAACCTTGGTGTTATCAGCACGATGCTCTAACCAACTGAGCTAACTGGCCACCCCCTTTACATGGGTAGTTTTAATACACACAGAATACTTGTTTGTCGTTGTCAGTGCTGTACTGTTTATCTAGGTTACTGACTGTTGGTCTTTTCTCTGTCTGCCACGTGTCTGGACGACCGGGGTGTTTCGAGCAGGCCTGTGGCTGTGACAGCTTGCGGGGATCTTGCCTCGCAGCATCGTAGTTTTGATGGAAGTGTTAGCCCCTCACGGGGCGGTGCCTGGGTCTCGCCTCTGCGGGACAGACTGCTTCATCCCCCGCCCGCCCCGCGTGGAGCTGCTTACGTGTGGACAGTAGCGTGTGTTTACGTGTTGGCCCCTCAGTTATGCCCTGGATAGGGGGAGGAAGCTGCCAAACGGGAATCTGACTCCTCAGTGTCCTGAAAAAGTCCAGTTTTCCAAGAGGCTCCATAAAACAGATGGGCGGAGAGAGCGGGAAAGTGCCCTAAATGCACAAAGCTGCCGAGGCCGGGTTGCGTCTTACACTGACCTCAGTGTGGAGTCCGAGGCTATTTACTAAGGAGCCAGTGAAATGAGTCTTGTATTTTATCAATAACAAGCATATTATCTTATTTTTAAATTAAAAGGAAAACCAACTGTCATGTGCCAAGTACTTGCCGCTGTCACTCGCCTCTCGTCCTCAGTTTTTTACAGAAGGAGGATTACCCTTATGGTACAGACCAAGGAACCAGCTCGGAGGGGTGAATGATTTGACCAAGGGTGTTTGTGACTTGAATGATGAGTATATTGTCTCCTAACCTTGGCATTGGGAACCTGTTGAGATGTAGGCACAGACATCAGTTGCTTGGATATCAGCCTTATTTCTGATTGTGGCTTGCCTATGGCTTGGATGTGTGGCCACAATGGGCTTCCTCGAATTTCACCCCCAAATCAAGGGTGCTCACTCAGTGCTGGGCAGCTCAGACATCCCAGCAGAGCAGAGCCTGCTGTTTGGTCCCCATGTCAGACCTCAGGCCAGGACACACCTTCTCTGGGCAGGCAGACCCAAAAGAGCCCAGAGGGACCAGGCCGTGGAGGTTCCATTTCTTGGGTCCCCTCACCCAGGGCTGCCACATGGCACAGCTCCAGGGGCAGTGCACAGCCTGCCGGCTTGTGGTGGCCCTGACTTCACCGATGACATCAAGCCCCACGTCTCCCTCTAGGAGGGACTGCATGAGGGCAGGGCTGCCAGTAGCTTCCACCTGGGATAGTCAGTCCACACAGACAGGGATCTGGGGGGCAGACTCACCCCTAACGTGCAAGCAGAGGAACCTAAACTACCCATTTCAGATTCATATTCTTCTACACACAAAGCAAACCCTCAAAGTTAGTTAGAGAGCATTTTTTTTTCTCTCACTGGGCTTAAAATGGTTCTTTTGTGATAACTTTTTTAAAAAATCCATTTGTAAAAGACACAAGTCCTTGTAGTAGCCGTTCTCAATTTAATGGGGGTGCTTCATAGAGAGCCCAGCATGTCCCTCGGCCCCATGCTTGTGTAGAAGTCTGATGTGCTGTTCACTCTTGGCCGCGCCTTTCATGGAGAACTGCTCACCCTGGACCTTTGGTGCCCAGCGGGGCCTTCCATACCGTCTCCCCTCGAGGTGGGGCGGTCAGCCTGTGTCCTGGTGACAGGGGGTCACGGTGCTGCCCTGCTCTGTTGCAGGCATATGGTGCTGCTGAAGGAGCAGTATGGGAAGCAAGTGGTCGTAAACCTGCTGGGGAGCAGAGGCGGAGAGGAGGTGCTCAACAGAGCCTTCAAGGTAACCGCAGTCTGTTGCCGGCCCCTCCACACGGAGTGGCGGTGGGATGGACGGGGCAGATGAGGGGCCCCTGCTCAGAGGCAGGCTTCTGTAGGGGACTGGAAACAACAACCACGCAGCTCTCACCACGTTTGGGAGGTTGACTGCTCACCAGAGTCCCATCATTAGGTGATTTGGGCTCCTGATGGGTGCAGTTTAATTTTTATAAACTTGATGGCTGGAATCATTTGCTCAAAGTCAAAAGAGAGCATCTCCCATCTCCAGCTGCACTTCCTCCAGTGCTCCCCCGTGGAGCCTTGGAGACTCGGGACAGCTGGGGCTCTTCCCGGCTCTCTTGGATGGACACACACACATGCATGCACACACGCTCGCCCCCACACGCACTTGCGCACACACGTATGTCTGGGCTCTGCCCTGTGCATCCCTCACCTGCTCTGGGAGCCCGAGCCCCGCCTTCCTGCTTTGGTTTGGCTCAGCCACTGGCTGCACCTCCTGCCAAGTTCACATAAACACCCGCGGGGCACTTGTGCCTGGAGTGGCCCTTCTTGGTTTAAAGCCAGGAATCTTACATGGTTTCCTCCTGCTGCCTTGGAGTCTTCAAACTTGCAGCCTTGTTTGGCTGCCCCTGAAAGCTGCGCCTTGTGCCCAGCTGCCCGTGGGCTGCCCGTGGCTCCCCTGCACAGGATCAGGGAGGTGCCGGGAGAAGCCCTGGATGGGGAGGAAGCAGAGCAGAAGACGCCCCCTCTCCTGCCCAGGTCTCCCCCGTTCCCAGAGCTCCCGTGTGTGTTTAGTCTACTGTGTGAAAAGCTCCAGGTTGGGCTGTGGGCGCTTCCACAGTCCTTTCCCTGTCACCCGTGTCCCCACTGAATGGAGAAAAGTCCCCGGGCTGTTCCACAGTCAAGGAAGCTCCTGATGGAGAGAGTTTATAGTCATCAGTCGCCACATGGGAAATGTTATTTGCTGCCTTCTTGACCCCTGACCGGTGGCAGACGTATCCAGCTGGGCGCTCATTTCAGTCTGCTTAGGCGAGCCATGGGCTTGGAGCGACATTCTGGTCGCCAATTTTTTTTGGCCAGACCCGCCTTTCCTGTTTGCTTTGTTGCTACTAGCAACAACCTTGAGAAGTGTCTCCCCTCCGCCCATCTTGGCAGCAATGTTGGCAGCTTATTTTAAGGAAGAAGAAGAAAAAATAGAAAGAAGAACCCAAGAATCTCTTTCCCCTTTATGCCTTGAGTTATAGGGAAAAGCTGTCCTCAGACCCCCATCAGCTGTGGAAGTACTCCCCGTGGTGACGGGCTCTTTTGTCACAAGAGGGGCAAGAGAGGGCAGCGGTCCCGTGGCCCGAGTTGGGGAGGGCAGGCTCCCGGGCGGGGAGGAGGTAAGAGGCTGACACTCTACCTGCAGGAGACCTGACTGAGGTGTCACATGGAGGCACAGCTCTACAATGCTGTGGTCCATGCACCTGCAGCTGGCCTGCGGCCGGCAGTTATCAAGCCACAAGGGACAAGGTGCTTGCTCTAGAATGTAAAATGTAAAGCACGAAACGATACACCGTTCAGTTCAGCTGACTTTTTTCATAGCAAGGCTTTTTATTTTTTAATTTAAGATTTTAATTAGGGAATTGGGGAAGGGGAACAGCCAAGTTGTTGTCCTTCAGTGTTAGTTGTGGAGGGCGCAGCTAGCTCAGCTCCAAATCCAGTCGCCATCCGGCCGCCTGTCAGCAGCTCGCAGCCACTTAGCTCAAGGTGCCATGTTCAATCTTAGTGGCAGTTGGGCGTAGCCCGCCATCCCATGTGGGAGTCGAACAAACACTGAGCCATCAGGGCAGCTCAGCTCAAGGTCCTGTGTTCAGTCTTAGTTGCGGGTGGGCATAGCCCACCATCCCATGTAGGAGTCGAACCGGCAACCTTGTTGTTAGGAGCACGTGCTCTCACCAGCTGAGCCATCCTGCCACCTGTTGGCAGCTCAGCAGCAGCTCAGCTTGGGTGCAGCTCCCTGGTCCAGGTGGGAATCGAACCAGTGACCCTGTTGCTCAGCGCTCGCGCTCTTAACCACCTGAGCCACTCGGCTGGCCCCCATAACGACTTTCTTGATGATGGCAGCCATGCATTGATTTGCATTCTGGCCCATGGTGGACGGGCACTTTGAGTCATACGGACCAGATGGCCTGAAGTCCTTCTAGTTCTTCAAAGTCCTTAGATTCTCTGGACAAGTCTGACCTGAAGCCATGTGGTTGGGGGTGGGGTGAGGGAGGCCTGAGGCCTTCTCCCCTAGGAAGGCAGCCAGTTCCTCCTTCACCATGGGGCTCTCTGGTGAGAGAGCTGAGGAATGGCTGGTGAGGGTCCTCGTGTGGAAGGAAGGCCTCTGCCGGGAGCACCCAGAGGACTTGCGGGAGACTCAGCCCCTTCAGAGCACACCCGCCTGGTGGCTTGTGCTTGTCTCAATGGGGCTGGTTACCAGGACAACAGAGAGCTGGATTATGAGCCCCTCGCCTGCTGCCCTGTGCCTGATGCGCCTGTGGCACCTGGGTGCCTGAAGAAGAGCAGAGTGGCCCTCCTCTCACCGGTGCCCTCGGAGAGCCCTGCAGAAGTGTGATGTCAGGGCAGGGCTGTGGGCTGCCCGGGAGCCTTGCCCGCCCTGGGGGAACTTCTGCCCCTCTTAGGCAAGATGCTCTTTGTGGGTTTGTCCCCAGGGTTTTTGCTTTGTGCTTCCCTGTCTGCGTCAGGACTGACAAACTGCTTGGTCCACCATAAGCCGTCAAGCTAAACCGTGTGCTACAGGGAGTGATGGGTTTAGCCACTCACATTCCAGCTGTGGGAGAGGAGGTTTGCAGTCATGTCTTCCTTTCCTCAGTCCCCTGCCACCCTTTCTCTTTCCCCTTTCAGAAGCTGCTCTGGGCTTCTTGCCACGCCAGCGACACGCCTATGATAAACTTTGACTTCCATCAATTTGCCAAAGGTGGGAAGCTAGAGAAATTGGAGAACCTGCTGAGGCCCCAGTTGAAGCTTCACTGGGATGACTTTGACGTGTTCACCAAGGGCGAGAATGTAAGTCCACGGTGAGTCTCCTCTGCGTCGGCAAGCTCGTGAAGAGGCCGGGGTTCTCCTGGGATGTGTGCTCTCCTTGCGACCAGCTATGCTTGTAGTTGCCCGGGCCACGGGCTCAGTGATATTGGGGATCTGGGGTCGCAGCCTCTCCTTTCCCTTCCTACCATCAGAACATGCTTTTCAACTTGGTGAGTAGATAGTAAAGCATAATAAATTTACTAATAAAGGGGACTAGGTTAAAATGTGGAGCCATGGTAACCATATAACTTGTCCAAACTGTGATGAAAACCCATGAGAGTGAAGGGGGACAGCTAGCATAAGCCCCGTCGCACAAAAAAGCTGGGATGTGGATTTCCGTGCTCAGAGGTGAGAAAAAGGAAGTTCCGTTTCTCAAATCACAATACAGTCGATCCTCATTTTTCGCAGATTCTGTATTTGCACATTTGCCCACAGGCTAAAATTTATTCATAACCCTACAACCCATGCTCATGGCATGTTCACAGACATGCTCAGACCAGTGAAAAATCGGGGTCCCCCAGTCTGCACGCTCCCCACCGAGCAGAACACAGCAAGGCTCAGCCTCTGGCTTGGGCTCTCACGCTGTAAACAAGCGTCCTTTTTGCCATGTTGTTATTATAGTACCATGTTTGCACATTTTTGTTTATTTTGTTGGCAATTTCATTGTTTAAAATGGCCCCTAAGTGGTCAGATGGACTCAGGCCTTGTTAGGGAGACCACTTCATGGACGGTGTAGAGGCTTGACCACTGCAGTGTACCCCTGAAGCTGCTATTGAATCATATTGTATGTCAACTAAGATTTGATATATGTGTGGTTATGGGATGTGGAGTACAGTGCGGGGAGTGGAGTTGATGAAATTGTAATAGATATGTATGATATCCCAGGAGGGGGCGGTTGATTGGGGGAGGGGCGTGGTCACTTTGTGAGGGGTGAAAAGGATAACTATTGCATTGTTTTGTGCACCTAAAACTAATAATAAATAAATAATAAAAATAAAATGGCCGCCAAGTATAGTGGTAAGTGCTCTCAGCACAAGAAGGACGGGACATGCCTTACAGAGAAAACGTGTGTTAGAGAAGCTTCGTTCAGGCAGGCGAGTGCTGTTGACCAAGAGTTCAATGTTAATGAATGAACAGCGTGTATTAAATGAGGTGTCTTTAAACAGGAACACACATACACGTAAAACAAGGTTATTTGTTGATTAGTTGATGAAAATGTGTGACCAGAGGCTCACGTGAAACTAACCCAGTATTCCTCCTACCATCAGTGATTTCGCATTTGCTCATTTGATAATGGTTCAGGTCACCAGTTGTTCACAGCAACTTTCTAGAACATGACTGCAGTGAATCAGGAGAATTGACTGTATTTACAATGACTCAGGTGTGTGGGCCGCTGAGAATGTGCTGTGGCGTCTGCCTGCCACCCCAGCAGTGCTGGGGTTCATCAGGATGTAAACCGGGGTCCTGGTGAGCTGCTAGGGAGGAAGTGAGGGGTATGAGTTCGTCTGGGAGTCTATAGTCAAACACAGGCCCCTGTGCTACTGCCACTGCACCTTTGAACATAACGTAACCATTGCATTTCTGGCGGTTTTCCTAAGTTTTCAGAAAGGAACACTGCGGATGAACTGCCTCGACTGCCTGGACCGAACCAACACAGTGCAGAGCTTCATCGCCCTTGAGGTCTGTCCCTGCCGCGGCCCCTCCGGCCATCTGTGTCGCATCCCATGCCTTCAGCAGGGCAGGCTGGGCTGAGTGCCTTCATCGGCAAGAGGCGGGTGGCGTCACTGGACTGACTTTTTAACTGTGGGAGTTGGGACGGGGTGTGTGGGCATCCGGGGAGAGGTTTTCGTGGGTGGCTGGCTTGCTTTTGGCCCGTTGTACTTTTCACGCATTTTGTGGAATCCATCCCAGACATGGTGGCCCAAGGTGCCAAGTCCACCTTGAGGAATAGGTTCCGTGTAAGGACTAGCGTGAACTTACCATTGGGCAGAGGCAGTGTGGGGCAGGTGAGACGAGGCTGGGTTCGAGGCCTGGGAGGCAGACCTCGCCTGGCTCTCTGCGGGGAGAAGGGGTAGGGTCCACACCAATTGCCCTCTACCCCTGCCTGCTGTCCAGCCCTCTGGTGGTGGGTGGGTGCAGGGAGGTCAGGAGTAAGGGGGTCAGAGGAGGGCTGGGTGGCATGATAAAGTTGGGGGAAAGCCCCTGTTCTCCGCTGCAAGGATTCCTCGTCCTCTGGAGGGACAAAGCGGTCCACCATCTGCCGAATGAGGAACTCATGGGGGTGGCGCCCAGGGACATTCCCCCAGGCAGCTGTGGGGGAGCTTCCAGGTGAGACCTCCGTGACAACTGTCTCTTACTGTCACCCAGGTCCTTCTCCTGCAGCTTGAGAGCCTGGGGCTGAGTTCAAAGCCCATCCCTGACCGCTTCGTGGAGTCCTTCAAAACCATGTGGTCTCTGAATGGGCACAGCCTCAGCAAGATGTTCACGGGCAGCCGGGCCCTGGAGGGGAAGGCCAAGGTAGGGGCAGGCCTTGGGGAGAGGGCGGGGCCTGCCTGCTCGGACCCCTCTCACGGCCCGCGGTCCGGTCCGGCCCTCGGCAGGTGGGGAAGCTGAAGGATGGGGCCCGGTCCGTGTCTCGCACCATCCAGTCCAACTTCTTTGACGGGGTGAAGCAGGAGGCCATCAAGCTGCTGCTGGTCGGGGACGTCTACACGGAGGAGTCGGCAGACAAAGGCAGGGTGCTGCTGGACAACACGGCCCTGCTGGGTATGGGGCTCCTGCTTGCAGGAGGGCGTGGAGGGTGGTGCTGGTCAGCTCTTCCCACCCCCTCGTGTAATCCCAGATGGCGGGGAGTGGGGGAGTGCGCTCCCCTGAGCTGTAGGGCAGAGCGGGGAGCTTCTGTGCTTTGCACTCTGGCTGTGACTTCAGCTGGACCAGTTGACATAAGCAGCTTGCAGCTGTGTTCCGTATCCTTTTATGAATTGGTCAGTCACATGAGACCGCAAGAGGAAGCACAAAAGAGGCTCAGGGAAAAAAGTTTTTATACTCACAGGTCCTAGAGCTGGTGGGTGGGGGGCAGGTGGGACATGCAGGGCCACATGGAAAAACCCAGGGTGGTCAGGAGGCGGAAGGCGGGAGCCAGGGAACCACTTAGGCCAGGGCCCCTATTGGGGTTTCTGTGGGAAAGGATGGGCAGTGGGAACAGTTCAGGGTTGGTCAATTTGAGTAGTTCCGTGGGCTTTGGGCTACAGGGCAGGCTCTGTTGGCTGGTACTTGGCCCTGGGGTGATAGAGGCAGAGGAATATTGCCTCCAGGGTGTGCGGGCCACACAGAGGAGGCATGAGCCTGGATTGGTTGGTTTTCATGTCACACGCCTACTCTGCTTCCTTACTATATATGGAAAAAGCCTAAGTGTTCGTGATCTATACACAATGGAATATTACTCAGCCATAAAAAAAAGAAATATTGCCATTTGCAACAACATGGATGGATCTCAAGGGTATTATGCTAAGTGAAATAAGTCAGATGGAAAAGGACAAAAACCATATGACTTCACTCATATGGAATAAAAAATAACAAAAGAAATGAACGAACAAAGACAAAGGAAACGCATAGATACAGGCAACAGAATGGTGGTTGCCAGAGGGGAGGGAATAAGAGGAGGGCAAAATGGGTAAAGGGGATCAATTGTATAATGATGGGTGGAAACTAGAATTTGGCGGCGAGCACGCAATAGTATATGCTGATATTAAATGATAGTATTGTACACCAGAAACTTCTATGTTATTAGCCAATGTTACCTTCATAAAAAAAATAATAATTTAAAAAAGGAAAAAGAATTAGCTAGCCCCAGGAAGGGCAGTGTCTCCCCAGCCAGAAAGGTTTTCTAAGATGTCAAACATCCTAATATAAACAGAAAATAAACATATATACAGAGCCAGCTGTCACTGTGTTTCCCAGGAGTCTGTGCTTTCTGGCCTTGAGTGGGAGCCCATTCTTGTAACTTCTTAATTTCAACTGTTCTTCCAAGACTCCAAAAGTGTTGGATTCTTTGAATGCTAATTCACACCAGACACTCTTTCTCACCCCGAGTGGGTTCTTGGTCCCCGTGCCAGGTATCTTTCATCCCCAGGTGTCTCCCAGGAGGGTGATGTCTGTTTTGGCCCTAGGACCCTGTAGAAATAGAGGGGGAAGGAGGATACCTTCTCTTGGGAGCAAGATTGTCATGATTCTGTCAATAGAAGTTTTTTTTTTTTAATTGAGATATAATTGACATATTAGTTTCAGAGGTACAACATAATGATTAGATATTTGTATATATTGGGAAATGATCATCACAATAAGTCTTATTAACACCCATCACCAAACAAAAAAATTTTCTTATGAGAACTTTAAAAACTTACTCCCTTAGCAACTTTCAAATATATTGGGTTGTCGGAAAAGTCTTGATGTATTTTTTCTGGTTTTCATTGCAAAAATGTGTCATGATTTTCCCGACAACCCAGTACAGTATAGTATTGTTGTACATTACATCCCCAGGACTTATTTATTTTATAACTGGATGTTTGTACCTTTGACTCCTCCCTTCACCCATCTGTCCCCCACCCCCACCCAGCCTCTGGCAACCACCAACCTGTTTTCTGTATCTGTGAGTTTGTGGAGGTGTTTGGCTTTGTTTAGATTGATAGATAAGTGAGCTAGAGCTTCCTTTGGGGAATTTTTTTTTTAAAGATTTTTATTGGGGTATTGGGGGGAAGGGAACAGTGCTGGGGAATTAGGAGAAGGGGAACAGACAAGTTGCCGTCGTTTTGCTCCTCAGTCTAGTTGTGGAGGACGTTGCTTCACTGGCCCAAGTTGGCACCATCATTGCGCTCTTCCCTGGCGAGGCAGATCAGTCGCCGGGGCGAGGCAGATCAGTCGCCGGCTTTTGGATGGCCGCTCACTGCGGCTGCTGGCCGCTCACGCTGGCTGCTGGCTACACACGGTAGCCCATGGCAACCCACTGCCACAGGGGCTGCAGCCTACACCGTCGCCGGCGACTCATGGCAACTCAGCTCCAGGTTGAGCTGTTGTTCAGCATCTTAACTGTAGAGGGCAGTGTCACTGGCCCTCATATGTGGGATCCAAACCGGGGCCCTCTGGCATCCCAAGCCAGTTCTTAATCATCGCGCCACTCGGCCGGCCCCTCTTTGGGGAATTTTTAATGTCATCTCGTCTCCTAAAGCCTGTACAAATCACAGGGCTCATAGAAAAATAAGGGAGACCTAGCATTTTCCTTGATAAGAATGTAAGTTTTGTTTTAGAAGTTTTTGTTGTTTTCAAAAACTTAATTTGCCTATGTTTAAAATGGTTTCAGAGTGCTTTTCCTACTTCCATTCTTCCTTGGCCGGGAGGCGGGGGGGGGGGGGGGGTGTCTTACCTGGCCCCTAATAGCCAAGGTGATATTCGTGGCTACCTGGAAATAAGGCTTGCCCAATAAAAGCTGAAGGAGCTCCAACTCTTATTTGGTTGCAAGGAAGATATGATTGACATTTGAGTTAAGCTGCTAGCTTAAAAAATGGAATGTATTTTGGATACCTAGAGGATAGATGGACATGGTTCAGAGTAATGATTTTTTAAAGGCTTGAGTCTAAGGTAAAACAAAACATTTCAGGCATGCGGGATGGAAGGGGGAAAATGCACAGATGGGCATAAGACATTTAAAGTTTCATATACGTATTTAAAACATGGTAAGTTGCAGTGTCCCCTTGCTTACCTTCCCCCTGAGTCACGGAATGAATGCTGAGGAGGAGGTTTCTGTGCCCTGGTGTCGCAGCTTCTGTGGCTCTGGTTGGGGGCGTAGGGAGGAATACCTGGTCCTGTGGTTTTAGGACCCTATGGTGGAAATGCCATAGGGGAGTGTCCTGGTTGTGGTCAGTTTTAGCCTCTGTTGTCATAACCATGGCCCGTATCTGTAGGATCAGGCACCCATCTCTTGCTGACAGACCCGTCTGTGTTTCTGGAGGAGGGCGTGGGGTTTGGGATGCAGACAACGTGCCCTTCTTATCCCTCCTCACAGTGACCCCCAGGATCCTGAAAGCTATGTCGGAGCGCCAGGCGGAATTCACAAGTTTCAAGCGGATCCACATCGCCATGGGGACATGGAACGTGAATGGAGGGAAGCAGTTCAGAAGCAACCTCCTGGGAACAGCAGAGCTGGCGGACTGGCTGCTGGACTCGCCCCGGCTCTCCGGAGTTGCCGAACCCCAGGGTGAGTGCAGTCCCTTCGGCGAAAACAAAATCCCAGTGCCATTGACCTTCTCAACAGCAGATTAGCTATTTGATGCCTTCTCTTTTCCAAATGTTTGGAAGCCTGATCACAGTGGTGGATTGCTCTATTCTCTTCACATTTAGAGGCTTTGCAGTTTTAGGTGTTGCTCACGAGAACCTTTTTGTCGTGAGAAAGAGGCGGCTTCTAGAGCCATTACTGCGAGGAACCAGGCACACGTTTCTCAGTTCCACTGACCTATCTTTTCCCAAACCAACCACTAACAATATACATACGCTTTAAGTAGTCATGGAAGAATTTGTGTACCTCTTCAGAATGAAATAATTCCAAATTCGACAGCTCTCACCTTCTGCCTTAGATCATGCAAGGTAATATTTAATGGCCTCAGGACTCAGGGTTTGAAGAATAAATGACGTTTCTCCAGCCAGCACTTATCCGGGGACCTTAACTTTTCTGGCTTCCTTGGACTCTGGGAGAGCCTGTTCGGTGATCCGGTTCTCTGCCTGTTGACGTGCAGGAGCCTGTCAGTCTCAACAGCTGCCTGGGGTGGCGGGTGCCCAGAGCCCCAGCCCCCACAGTGGCGTGCACAGTCTGTCTGCACCGCCCCCTTGCTGTCTTGGGGGGCAGGATAGCTTGAGTCTGAAGTTCAGGATCACTGGGATCCTTGATTCCATGGTGACCATTCAGAACGCCCACCGGGGCAGGCCCTGTAAGTGCTGAGGACATTAGTGCTGCCTGGGCTGAAGAAACTGCTCTCCCCTTTCTCCAAAATGGCTCCTGTCATTTGATTACAGGAACAGGGTGGGTGGCCACAACAAGCTGGCTCTTACTTTGCAGGGGATTTTATTGGGTAGGTGGGCTCAACCAGGGCTCCAACTAAAACTCACCACGTTCAGGAGAGGGAAGCAGATCAGAAGGAGTATATTTTTCTTTAAAAAAGAAAAGAGGTTCTAAGTCAGTTAAGCTTGAGATGCCAGGTTGCCCTGCGTGGCCAACAGGACACGAAGCGGGTGGCCTCGCCTTGCTGCTGGAGTCAGGGATGGAGGCGTGTCACTTGCTGGAGCAGGTGGAGCCACGCTGGGCATGATGGCTCAGGCCTGCTGAGTGTCACAAGGATGACTGGTGAGACATGGCCAGTGGCTGCAGGGGTGTATTAAACCCTAAGCTTCCCTGTTAAAGGGAACACAGCACTGAGGGAACGGGTAAGCATCACCGCTCGGCTCACTGTGCTTCCTGTAAACCAGGCTTTCCCGGAGCAGATTTCATCAGGACAGGCCCCAGGTGACAGTGGTAGCCACCTTGAGTTGGACGGGGTTTTCCCTTCTCTGGCCACAGTCCCCTTACAGGACCATATCAGTCAGTCATTAACCGGGGAAGGCTGGGCCCAGCACAGGTCTGATGTACCTGAAAGTTCTGTGGAAGGAAGAGGGACCAACGGGGTCGCTGTCTTACTACACGCCAGGCGGGGCGGGGACTTTACAGGTGGCATCTGATGGATGCTTCACAACCACCCTGTGAGGTGGTGGTTACTGTCCCTTCCACAAAGAAAGAAACAGTCTTGGAGAGGGCAGTCACGTGCCCCAGGGTGTAGACGGGGAAAGGCCATGTGCACGGTGGGAGCGGAGGGGCAGGGGGCCCGTGGAGCTCTACCCAGTGACCTGGACAAGTGCCCCCAGGCAGTGGGACACCTGAGCCCACAGGCAGATGTGGCTGGTGCCCCACGGGTCAGCAAGGGCAGGCCTTGGTGGGTCATCTCCTTCATCTCCTGCCTTGTCCCCCAGATGACAGCAGCCCAGCTGACATATTTGCTGTGGGGTTCGAAGAGATGGTGGAACTGAGTGCGGGGAATATCGTCAATGCCAGGTAAGCGGCCGGGCACCAGGGGTGCAGGAGAGAGACGTGAAAGCCACCGAGGGTTTCCCGAGCCGGGCGCCTGGCCTGCGGCGCGGCCCCTGCGTCGTCCTGTGCCTGAATCCCCTGACCTGTGCCCCTCGATGTGTGGGGCCCTCTGACTGCACTCCCTCGTGCTCACACATGTACACCTGCCCGCTCTTCCTCCTTTGTTAATTAAGGAAGTAGAGGGAAGGGCGGGTTACCCAGCATGTTCTCTGAGGTGCTGCTGCCTCAGCCGCGTGTGCAGGCTGAGTGGTGCTGGCGTGTGAGCTTGGAGGGCGCGGGCGGAGGGCAGGCTGGAGGGGCTCAGTCACCTTTCCTGGGAAACAGTGAGAAATAGGAGGGCGGGAGGGGGTCCTTCTCTCCTCTCCGCCAGGTACAAAGGAAAGAAAGCCACCAGAGTAACATCTGGCATAAGGCCAACTGGACTTTTTCTTTCCTAAACTGGTACAGCTTTATTTCAAGGGACTTTCTGAACAAATGATAAAACCTGACTCTATGGAGCCCTTCTGAGCAAGGCAGCAGGGGTGGGGTGGGCGGTATGTGCTGTGATGTGTATGATACAACCAGCAATATGTCGATAGTCCGCTGCAGGGGTTAAGGCCTGGCACCCAGGGCGTGCAGGCAGCGTGGATCAGTTCTGTTGAAGGAATCAGCTGAGGGCTGGCGGAGTTTGTAGGTGGGAGAGCCCACTCCCAGCTTACCTGAAACAGCACCATTCTTTCCTTCTCTCTCCCAGTACCACCAACAGGAAGATGTGGGGTGAGCAGCTTCAGAAAGCCATCTCACGCTCTCATAGGTACATTCTCTTGACCTCGGCACAGCTGGTGGGCGTCTGCCTGTATATCTTTGTGCGTCCGTACCATGTCCCGTTCATCAGGTAAGAACACAGAGTTTATGACATCTAGGGGACAGGGGCTGTTGTGCTTGGTGTTTTTGTTCTGACTTCCTCTTCCTCCTCCCCCTCCTGCAACAGGAATAGGACCTGCCATTATACTGCATAAATGGAACAAAACCCCAAGGAAGAACTAGGCTGAATAGAATATTGTCTAGCAATTAAAAAGCCACAATGGGAACCTTCTAGCTCAGGAAGCTGAATTCTTTTCGAAGGCGTGTTACATGACCGCCATCACCCAAGCTCAGCTTGGCACAAGGAAAGGGACGGCTTGTTGAAATTTTAGACAGAAAACTTCTGACCAAGAGCCGAGTAACTCATCAGGAAGTGCCAATTCTTTTACCAGTTCTTAAAAGAATTCTAAATAATATGTGTGGGCAGAAAGCCTCTACCACTGTCACCCCATTATTATGTCTCTAAAGTGACAGCTTTATGAGTGTCAGAAAGGGAAAGCTTCGGGAAATGGTTGTCCTTTCAGGGGAGGGTGTGCGTGGTGTAGGTGCGTGGATGGGGCGTGTGCATGGGGGCGTGTTTTAAGGCTCGGGAGGAATTCAGCTTTCCCGTCCTTGTCTCATAGCCTCAGATTGCTACCTGGTCCCATCTGCGTCATTAGAATGCCCTCCCCTCTCTCTCACTGCCGATGCCAGGCCTGGAGCTCACCTTTCCTCCTGAGCTGAGCAGGGTCATACCCATGGGCATCTGCACATGTGGGGGACCACAGGTGTGGAGAGGAAGACTTGCTCTGTGTTCGTAATCCTCTTCTGTGACTTGCGGAAAATGTTTAAGTCCCCTTGACTGTGTCCCTCTGATTATGGTGTTAACGGCAGTTTGACAGGGTCCAAAGTGAATGAGTAAAGCAGAGTAAAGGATGGAGGGAAGGGACGGTTAGGCTAAACCTCAGGAGCGATGCTGAGGTGCGCGGATTTCCCAGGGGCAGCCTGCGGTCCCGACACCCGCCCTGTCCCCAGCCCCTTGCTCCTCTGCCCTCAAGCTTATTTAGTTCACACACCCTTTGGCCAGTTGTCCCCTCCCCTTGTCTGCTAGGTGACAGTCCGAGGGAGGAGGTGTAGACCTCAGTCTGTGCTTTAGTTTGTAGTTTTGTGCACCTGCACTCTCACTTAAATGTGTTATAAGATGGCATTTTAATGTGAGCTGGAGTCTGCATTGAAATCACCTGCCCAGTCCCACATAAGTAACTGGCAGCTTCCTGTTCCTTAAAATGTATTGATTACCTATGAAACTTTCTGTGCTTTGCAGGGAAGCCTGGCGGGGCTGGGGGTGGGGGGTGGCGAGACGTGGAACAGAAAGAGGCGTGGAGGTGATTTGGCTTCAGGGGTTCTTTTGTGTGTGGGGGTGCTTTTGTAAGTGCATAGCTTCAAGGTGGGGGAGGTGGAGAAGATGCTGCAAACCTCCCCCGGGGAAGCTGCCGACGGTGAGCGAAGGATGTCAGGAGTGACCGTGGAGCTAGCTGATGGTCATCCTGCTCACTGTGTGGGTCGGCGGCCGAGGACGCGACGAGACTTTCTCAGAGCTGACGGTTTGGGGCGTTCTCAGAGCCTCCAACCTCGTGCTGCCGTTGGCTCTTTGTAGCAAAAACAGGTCTGTGCGTTTCCCGTGGCCGCTGAGAAGCTGCCGCATGTGCGCATGCTCTGTTGCAGGGACGTGGCGATCGACACGGTGAAGACGGGCATGGGAGGCAAGGCGGGGAACAAGGGCGCCGTGGGCATCCGCTTCCAGTTCCACAGCAGCAGCTTCTGCTTCGTGTGCAGCCACCTGACGGCCGGGCAGTGCCAGGTGAAGGAGAGGAATGAGGACTACAGGGAGATCACCCAGAAGCTGAGCTTCCCCATGGTGAGGAGCCCGGTGGGTTCCGGCCCCACACGGGGGCTTCTGAGCTTGCTAACGCGGGCAGGGGTACGACCAGAGGAGGGTCCTGCCCTTGGGAGCTCCGCACTGGGGAGCAGATGAGCTGGTGCCGCAGAGGCAAGCCCAGGGCACCCCGCCCTGCACCGCCCTGTCCCCCATCTCGATAGGTCTCCTCAGTGGCCTTCGTCCCCTACATGTTCTTATGTGCATTTTCTGATTTTCTCATTTACCTGTGTGGGATGGAAAAAGAAACCCACTGTGTCCATGCGTTGTCCAAGTTGAAGAGCATTTGAATCCCAACAGTATAAGACTCGGTTTTCTTGAGACGCACCGTCTTTGCACATACGTGGTGTTGCGGCTCAGAGAAGAAGGTCCGCTTTCAAAGCCCGCGAATTCCTGACTTCAGGAGCCCTGGAGCCGCCGGGCTGGTCGCGGTCGCCAATATCATGCGTCATGCTGCCCTCTAGTGGTGATTCAGAGGTTTTCATTTTGAAGGCCGCAGCTTTTCAAATTCAGATATGAATGTTCTTCCTGTGCAAACACGGTGGTCCGCACACCTACAGCTGGGTGCAATTGCCCACTGCCTAGCGGCGAGGATAGGCTGTAGCCATTCGTGCCACATATCCTGCCAGTCAGTGTCTGAGACATGGTGGGCTGGGTCCTGGAGCTCTGCCATGTGAGGCCCAGTCACTTAAAAAAACTGACGTCGCATTCACTAGGCTGCACAGCACTTCAAGGCAAAAGTCCCTTCATTTTCATTAAGTGCTGTAATCCTCGTTGTAGTGTTTTATTTCTTGTATTAAAGAAGAAACAAGCAAACGAGTGGGGAAAGTTGCAATTTGTCGTTTTCCAGACTCTGTAGGACATGATGCATGGTTTCTCTGTGTGTCTAGGAGTTATTAAAAAGTCCAGTGCTTTCCACTTAAAAAGTGCTATTTGAAATAGTAAACTTGGGACACATTCGAAATAATTAAAGGGCTTATAATATAGCTCTTTTTTTCAATGGAAATATTGAGGGTACCTAAAAATTAGTCCTGTATACCTTCACTGTCCAGTAAAGTGGCCACCAGCCACTCATAGCTATGTAAATTGAAATTAATTAAATAAAACGAAAACTCCCTTGGTTGCACTGGCCACATTTCAAGTGCTCAGTGGCTGGCGGCTCCTGTTCAGGACAGTGCGGATGGAGAAAGTTCTACTGGACAGTCTGGCTGTACACGCTCATTTTATTTGCTTGTGATCATTTTAATCATCTGTCCAGATTATTATTGTGGGTTGGGCGGGGGGGGGGGAATGCCACGTAGCATAATAGACTAGAAACAGATTCAGGAGCAGAGTTCAGATCTTGTCTTTCTCATGTCCTAGCAGTATAACCTTTGAGTTTTTCTGAACTTTTTTAATCTAAAAGAGAGCCAGGAGTGTATTAGGGTTTGTAGGGCTGCTGTGAGGACAGAGTGTTCCCAGAACAGAGCCCACCCCCTGTGGAGGGTTGATAGGGAGCAGCTGGCTCACTTCTAGGGCTGCTGGGGCACCCCGGGGCTCAGAGTTACTGGGGGAGATTGGGAAGGAGGGGGAGCGAGACTGCGATGGACGATCGCAGGATGAGAACATATAAAGTCCGTGGAATTTTACAAAGCCATACGTTCTGAGCATTTTTCCTTGTTTCCTTAAACCTCATTCTCATAACATTGAATGTCTGGGCACTTCTTAGAGGTAAACCTAACGAAGGCAGGAGCATAGCCTGGTCATGGAGGTTTGATTGGCAGAGTAAACACTGGCAGTCATGCTGCCCCAGTTAGACTTGGAGCTTTCTCCAAACCACTGAAAAACACTATCATGTAAAATAAAAAAGTAAGCCATGCGAAAGCTCCTTAGGTTTATGGGATAAGCGAACAAGGAGATGCTCTAATAGGAGACTTTTTTTACGTAACATGTTAAGAAAAATGTATCTGCTCACCATCTGCATGGTGAGTTTTTCTCTCCTCCCCCACCTTCCTCACAACATGGGCCAGAATGACTATGGTTTTCTTTACAACTTAGGGACGAAACATTTTTTCTCATGACTACGTGTTCTGGTGTGGCGATTTAAACTACCGCATTGATCTCACTTATGAAGAAGTCTTCTATTTTGTTAAACGCCAAGACTGGAAGAAACTTCTGGAATTTGATCAGCTGCAGCTGCAGAAATCCAGTGGAAAAGTAAGTTGTGCTTTTAAAATAGTTTTTAGCAGCTGCTCCAATAGGGAGCAACATCTACTAAATGTATCTGCTCGTGTTCAGCAAATTAAGTTCCACGGGTGGATTTAACAATGACTCAGACTTGGTAGAAAACGTGTGCGGCCTAGGAAGGTAGAGAAACGTGAGCGTCCATCCCCACATACTTCCTGTTCCTCGTCAGACGGGCTGCGTTCAGGCTCTGTGTGTCCTCTCATGGCCGAAGGGGCCATCACTGTGTGAAGGGATGCTGGCGAGCATGTAAGCCAGCTGCAGGAGCCAGTGACAGTGGAAATCTCTCTGCTGACACCAGCACCTGCGCTCTGTGATTTGAGGTAGGATTGCTGTCCCCTACTCACCAGAGAGTAAGTATAATAGCTGCACTGAATTGGAATCCCAACTGCTTCAAACGACCCCGTGTCAGCCTCGGAGCATTCCACTGTGTGAGAGGAGGGCAGCCACTGATGTCCCCAAGTCTACCCCACCTCATACTCACGTGAAGGACTGTTATACTTCAGACGTGCTAAACCACCAGGTGACACATCAGATTCTGCTCCAAATACTTTGTTTTCGTGATATCACCGCTTCTCATTGGTGAACACACTAACAAAGTATAACAATATCTAACTATAATACTTTACGTACCAATTTCTAAATACGTATTAATAGATTCTGTACGTTTTAGGAATATAGCCTTCTGCAGTGTGCCTTTTTTGTTTTTTGTATAAAGCAGAGAGAGCCTACGAGAACTCAGGTAATCTTGTGACGTCTTTTTCTCCTGATAGATTTTTAAAGACTTTCATGAAGGCAGCATTAATTTTGGACCCACCTACAAGTATGACGTTGGCTCCGCCGCCTACGACACAAGTGACAAGTGCCGCACCCCCGCCTGGACAGACAGGGTCCTGTGGTGGAGGAGGAAGCATCCTTCTGACAAGACAGGTGTGTGAGACATGCGCTTTCAGAGCTGATGAGAGCCGGTGACCAGCGCCCAAGAGGGAAGGTCCCATTTATCCAGCCCAGTGCTCTTTGCTATAAAGATAACATGTTCTTGGTAACCTGGAGCTACGCACAAGGCATCCCAGCCGTTAGCCCCTAAACTCTGAGAGTTGTGCTTTGGGGGCACTCCTCTCTGTCCTCTCTCTGGAGACTGATCTGCACACAGACGTGTCGCTGCTCTCCCCATCCCTGCCTCACGGCTTCCCCCACACCGCCCCGTCTGCCTTCTGTTCTGGGCGGGGCATGTGGACAGAAGCCAGGGGTCTTCCCCTCCGCTGCCCTCAACACGCATGCACGTTATCCATCCCCTTCTGTTGGACCAAACCCTTATCTGCTTAGAGCCCCGATTCTGAGTGGAACATGTGTAAGACACAGGGAGGGTAAGAGTTGGTTATCGGTTAGTTGCCAAGTCTGTCTTGAACAATGATTGATGCCCAGCCAGGAAGTGCTGCTGATTTAAAAGTAGAACACCTACAAACTGGTACATAAACAGCTCAACATTTCTGGAGACATGTGTGCTGAGATGTGAAAGCCAGGAAATCACATCTATACATTGAAAAGATACGTCTTCATTCAGATCAGTTTGTGGATATTACATGGCCCTGGGGCACTGAGAGGCAGGGACGACTGCATCTCTTCCTGTACAGAGGGAGGCAGATCTCCTGTGTCCCTTTGCCCCCGGGGTGGAAACCCCGCAGCAGCAATTTCTGTGCCCCCCCCTCCCACACACACACACACACACACACACATACATATGTGCCCACTGGAGAGGATGCAGGCGGCGCTGGTCTTGCTGTTTTGGGCAATCCACATGGGAGGAGTTTTCATGCCAGGCCCCAAGGCCACCGTGGCATGGTTTCAAGCCCAAAGGGTTATCCTGACTAAGTCTGAGACCTGAGTGGTCCGTGACATGGGTCCCTTTGTGTTATCGAACCTCCACTGTTGGCATTCATGTATGTTGATACAATTTTGTGTTGTCTATGGGTCTCTTGATTGGAATCCTGGGAGTAGCTGAAGAACTCAACCTTCTAGACAACGACCTGGATGCTGACACCAAAGTCAAACACACCTGGTCCCCTGGTACCCTAAAATATTACGGCCGGGCAGAGCTGCAGGCATCTGACCACAGGTATGGTCCTCGCTGCCCTGGGCACATGGCTCTCTGCTGAGGAAGCCAGGCCTGCTGCTCCCCACAGAGGACGACGTGCTGTCCCCAGTGGAATGTGTGTGCATGTGTGCGCGCGTGTGTGTGATGCAGCAAAGAACAAAGAATAGGGTGACAAATAGCCGTGCACCCGCCGCCAAAAATTAATCAATGTTGGTATTTGATCATTGCTCTGCACCATTAGTCACATTACTTAGGAAAACTTCAAAGACACACCTGTGGTATTTTGTGTCATTTAAATTCTCATAAATGATGTCATTGTGCAACTTGCCTTTTTGCTGCTTACTATTTTCGAGACACAGTCATGTCGCTGTTGTAGCGTGGCTCCTTCATCTGTAACTGCTGTCCAGTGTTCCACCAAACGTTTTGAGATTCTTAGCACACATTACTAGATAGCCCTCTGAAAAGCTTGACCCCCTAGCACAGGGAGAAAGGCCACTTCTCTGCATCCTCAGCAGTCCTGGAAGGTTCTGGATAGATGGTGATTATCACAAAAAAAGTCTTTGCTGATGGCTGGTATTGTTTTCTCGCAGCTCATCCTTAGATAAAAATGGTGAGGTAATACTAAGATTGGGGGAAAATGAAGACCTCAGCCTGAGGACAGGACTGTGAGGCAGCAGGTGCCCCTGCTGGGGCCACAGCAGAAGCTGTTGATGGTTACTGTTTACAGCGAGCTCTGAGGACCCAGGCGGGGGCTGTGTGGCTGTCTTGTCCCCAGTTAACTGCTGCCCATCTTCCCTCATTTCTAACGCAGACCTGTGCTGGCGATCATGGAGGTGGAAGTACAAGAAATTGATGTGGGTGCTCGAGAGAGGGTGTTCCAGGAAGTGTCCTCTTTTCAAGGACCCCTGGATGCCACCGTCGTGGTCAACCTTCAGTCGCCAACCTTAGAAGAGAAAAACGAGTTTCCTGAGGATGTGCGCACCGAACTCATGCAGACCTTGGGGAATTATGGGACAATTGTTCTTGTCAGGTAACAAGTGCCCCAGCTGGCGTGGGTTCTGGTGTGGGTGACCGTGAGGACCCATGGGAGCTGCCGAGTCACTCTTGGGGTTGACTTGACGTATTTCCTTTATTCCAGGATCAACCAAGGGCAGATGCTGGTGACTTTTGCAGACAGTCACTCAGCTCTCAGCGTCCTGGATGTGGATGGTATGAAGGTGAGTCACGCTTGGTCGCCATGGAGTGGGGACTCCTTAACCCCCATGGTGTTTTGTTGTTTTTTTGTTTGTTTATTAAAGTTTACTGGGGTGACAATGGTTAGTAAAGTTACGTAGGTTTCAAGTGTACAATTCTGTAATACATCATCTATGTATCACATTGTGTGTTTACCACCCAGAGTCAGTTCTCCTTCCATCACCATATATTTGATCCCGTTTACCCTCATTCACCACTACTGGCCCCTTACCCTCTGGTCACCACTAAACTATTGTCTATGTCTGTGAGTTTTTGTGTCTTTATTTGGTTTTCTTGTTCCCATGGTTTTCTTGTGCTTTCACAGGGTCCCTGTTGTCCCCTGTCCTCACCTGTGTCTTAAGGTGTGCGTGCCATGTGAGGGCTGGAGCTAGAACTGTTCATTCTGGTACCAAATTCTATTGGGTTGTCGGAAAAGTCATGGCGTATTTTTTCTATGTTTTTCATTGCAAAACTGTGTCATGACTTTTCTGACAACCCAGTAGTATCTTTGTTGAGGCGTCTAATGTCCAGCCCTGGCCACTTGCAGAATTTAGGGAAAAGAGCAAGTTTTAGAGTACAGTTCCCACTGAGTTACGGGGTCTGTCTTTGCTCACGCCTCCATGTGGGAAATTGTTGCAATCTCTCTTTAGAGTATGTAGTTTGCAGTATGCAGCTCACAGGCAGTTACCATGTTGATAATATCCTGATATTAAATTTTCATGGAGTGCAAAGCTGAAGATGATGTTGGGTTGTTGGGAAACTCATGACGTATTTTTCTGTATTTTTCAATGCAAAAATGTTTCACGACTTGCCCGATGACCCAATAGTTTAACTTTTATTTAGAGCAAATGTGAGCCTGCCTGAGATCTAGACGCTCCATTTTCCTTGGCAAATGTGAAGACTGGCCTGGTTCCCGACACATGAGTTTGAGCAAGAAGCACTTAGGGACCAAACGGGGTGGGTTGTCTGGCTCCTGTGTTCGTTCTCAGATGACCGCACTCCCTTACAGGTGAAAGGCAGAGCAGTGAAGATCCGACCAAAGACCAAGGACTGGCTGAAAGGTTGGCAAGAGGAGATCATTGGAAAGCGGGATAGCATGGCTTCCATGTCGCCCACGGCCAATTCGTGTTTGTTGGAGGAAAACTTTGATTTCACGAGCTTGGACTACGAGTCAGAAGGTGAGTAACCCTGCGAGGCCTCCTCAGTCGGTCTGGCAAGGTGGGTGGGCAAGCAGTTCTCCCAGTGGCGGACATGAGATTGTCGAGATCCCTTCTAGGACCCTACCTCGTAAAGGTGACAGAGCGTGCTTGCAGTGCAAGCATTCCATTCCATGCGATGAGTTGGGCGGTATTCATGTGTGGAGTGATGCATGAAATGGAGATGTCTAAAATGACATCAAAAACAGTGGTTCTGAGAATGTCGGGGCTGCGGGCTTCGTCCCCCGGCTGCTGGCAGCTGTGTCTCTGGTGTCCTGACACAAGCCACAGGCTTAGATGTTGAAACAGACCCACTGGTGGAAAGCTATGACACCTCACCCTGATGTTTGCTGTGACTCATTTCCTTCCCCAAGGGGATATTCTCGAAGATGACGAAGACTATTTGGATGAGCTAAGTCAGCCTGTGGCCTCAGACAGTGAACTGGGGGGAGACGACCTTTCCGATAGCCCCAGCTCCACAGCAGCGGCACCTCCCAGCAAGTCACCTGCGCTAACCAAAAAGAAGCAGCATCCTACCTACAAAGGTAGGGCCTGCCTTTTCTACCTAGCCTCCAGCTCTGAGTTTTTTCTCTCGGCACCAGTGCATAAGGCCACCAGTCCAGTGTGCCCATCCCATGAGAGGGCTAAAACAACAGGTCATGACAAGTGGTGGACGCTGGGCTCCGGGAAGGTGTCAGCTACCACCACACTGATTTTCTCTACCAATTTGTATTATTTTTACAACTAGTGCCCCTGCGGCATCCCAGATTCACCATATTTCCTGCTGCTTCTGTGTATTCAGATGGCCACAGCTCTGAATGGGTTCTATCTACATTTGTGATTTTTTATTTTCCTCTCTAAAACTTTTCTGATTCAATCCCATAAGAGACGTCCTCAGCATCTATGTCCTGAATGACTGGTGTGTTGTTACCTGCTTATAACATTATATTATTATTCAGTAATACTTTTATGTGTTATATGATTATATATTGGGTCTTCAGAAAAGTCATGATGCACGTTTGCAAGAGATGGCACTGGTTCATTTTTGGAAGCACTAGAGTCATTCGCATCTATGTTTTTGCTATGTTACTTGACGGCTGACAGTTCTAGCTTCATTCTAAAAAAAAATTGAGCAATTTGGTTGAGTTTTGGAGATTTTACAACAAGTTGAAGATGGAAGACCAAACTGTACATTTTTGCCATATTTTACTGTTTTACTTCCATAAAGGGAAGAACATGTGTCAAGCTTGTGAAAAGTTGCGTAAACTTTATGGTGACAATGCTCTACAGGAACATCAGTGCCAACGATAGTTCACAAAATTCCATGCTGGTGATTTTGATCTCAACAACGCTCCTCGGTCAGGGAGGCCCACCGTGGTTGATGACAACAAAATAAAGGCATTGATTGAGTCAAACCCACGTTACACGACACGAGAGACTGCAGACACATTGAACATCCACCATTCAAGCATTCATAACCACCTAAAGAAGCTGGGATACGTAAGCAAGCTCGATATTTGGGTTCCGCATAAACTCAAAGAAGTTCATTTGACGGCACGTATAAACATCTGCAATATGCTCATTAAATGTGAGGAAAACAATCCTTTTTTGAAGCGACTGATAACTGGTGATGAGAAGTGGATTGTTTACAACAATATGGTGCACAAACGGTCTTGGTCCTGATGTGATGATTTGCCTCAAACGACATCGAAATCAGACATTCATCAAAGGAAGGTTATGTTCTCAGTGTGGTGGGATTTTTAAAGGTGTCGTGTTTTTCAAGCTCCTACCAAAGAACCAAACAGCCAATTCAAATGTGTACTGTCAGCAATTGGACAGTTTGAACGAATCCATCATCCAGAAACGTCCAGAGCATGTTAATTATAAAGGAGTTGTGTTCCATCGCGACAATGCAAGACCACATACACGTTTGATCACCTGTCAAACATTATTGGAGCTTGGATGTGTTGCCACACCTACCGTACTTGCCTGACCTTGCGCCGTCAGACTTCCACTTTTTTCGTTCTCTTAAGAACTCTTTGCATGGTATAACGTTCAATTCAGACGAGGCTATAATTCAGCACCTTGTTCAGTTTTTCACATATAAAGACAGGTCCTTCTATGAACAAGGAATTATGAAGCTCACTGAAAGATGGCAAAAGGTTATCGAACAAAATGGGCAATTATCATTGATTGATCTTTGTTCTTTATATAAATAAATGACCTTTGAAAAACATAGACAAAATATGTCATGACTTTTCCGAAGACCCAATATAACTAACAATATTATACATTAGCATCATTATATCATTGTAAACTTAAGAGGGGCCGAAAGTTATATGGATTGAACTGCATGTCCCTAGGTTATACCGTATAGCGACTCTTGAGTAACATTATTTATTTGTTTGTTTGTTTGTTTGTTTAAAACTTCATTGGGGAACAGCCATGGTCACTGGTTGTACATTGCTTTCATGCTACAATGGCATAGTTGACGCTTTTAAGGAGGGCACAGCTCACAGTGGCCCATGTGGGGACTGAACCGGCAACCTTGTTGTTATCAGCACCATGCTCTAACCAACTGAGCTAACCGGTCACCCCTTGACTAACTTTTCAAACCCACCAGCGGTACCTGGGCTGGAAAGTAGGGGAGTTCATATTTCAGCACCAGACTCCCGCGCAGCTCCATCCAGTCACGAGTACCTTCTAGCTGTTGGTCATCGTGTTGTCTGTTGGAGGAGAGCTATAGCCAGCATGTACAGGACCCTCGTGTCAGGACCCTTGGAGCTGGGGCTGAAAACAGAGAACAGAGGCAAAAGTGAATTAAAATGCTTCCCAGGGAATGTATGTTGCCAGGAGAGGTGCAAAGACCCCCAAGCCCCTTTGACTGTATAGTGGCCCCAAAGCTGGTCAGTAGCCTGGCTAATTGACCCACCAGGAGCCTTTGAATTTACAGGTTGCTGAGCCCCGCCACAGAGCGTGGATTTGTCAGGGGTGGGCTGGGCCCCTGGGAGCCTGACAGGCGTGGAGCTCCCCAGGTGACTGAGACGCACAGCCAGCTTTGGGGACGGCTGCCCCACATAGGACCAGCAGCCTTCATCAGCGTGTCGAGGGAATCTGTGCATTGCACACCCAGAGGGTTACTGCTCTGGAGTGGGGGTGTCTCGGGGGATGTGCTTTTCAGACAAAAGGGAACCCTTTTCTCCAGGGGTGGCCATAGTTCAGGCAGATGTGCGAGCAGGTGCCTCTTTGAATGAAAACTAGAGCAGTGGGCTGCCTGACCACCCGGAGGGACTGTATTCCCCCTACGGGGTTCAGGCACTTCCCTTAGGAGAACCCCACTTCTCCTAGAGCAGCCTCATCTCTTGGGGTGGGGGAGCTGTGGATTTGAGGGACGGGGTGTCTGAGCCAAAACAAAATGAACTGGGCTGTGCTGTCATGTGGGAGAGAAGAAAGACCTAAAATATTCGTGACTTTCTAGGTAATAAACGTGTAGGTAACCAAACAGAAGCAGTCAGGTCCTCATGCCACTCGTAGCCTGAGAAGGCTGTGATGGGACAGGTCAGGGCGGCGAACACTTGTAGCCCTGGGCTACAGGGCTGGGGACTTGAGTTCTCGGGGACAGCCATACCAGGAGCTTGCCACTGGGTGGCAGAAGATTCTCAGCTTCCAAAGCAGTCGTCCTGTTCTAGACCTAGGACTGGAAAATGGGGGGCCCTGGCTTTCAGCTGTCCACTCTGTGTGGATGTCTAGCTGATTGTTTCAGAAGGAAACTTGCCAACACTTTAGGTTGGGGTGTCTCGTGTCTGGACAGGAAATCTTGGCCAGGGTTCGTTGAATGTTCCGAGCAGGCACTGGGTGTCCTCCATCCCTCCCTCCCATGCCAGCAGAGGGGAACACTTCCGCTGCCCTGCAGGAGCCCCTCCTGCCACAGGTGGCCCTGCCCACCTGAGCCTGACCCCAATTCACCTCATTCACGTTCCGCCATGTCCTCCAGATGATGCCGACCTGGTGGAGTTAAAGCTGGAGCTGCAAGCAGTTGGGGACTTCCACCACCGTTCTCCAAGTAGGTCTCTGTCGGTCCCCAACAGGCCTCGGCCGCCTCACCCACCGCAGAGACCCCCCCCTCCAAGTAAGACCTTGCTGCTTTGGGCTCACACGCCTGCTGGGAATAACTGCACATTTCCTGCTACTGAACAAATGGCTCTAAATCCCCTTCTGCCTAGCCTTTGAGTCCCCGCCACGCTTTTTGCCCTCCTTGGGCTCTTTTTTATCTTAAATCCGTGACATGTTTGATATCAGACGTACAGCTGTGTTTCTCGTGGCAAATTAAATGATCCCTTTATAAAGCTGTTCTTGGTCCTCGGCATCTGTGATTTGCTTTAAGCTGCTTTCTTTTCGACACCTTAGAAAGTGGAAAATTGGGGTCCCAGCCAAGGCAGGCAAGGGACTTTTTAAAGCTCCTTCTGCCCTGTCCCCGCAGCCTCTTTCAGCATCTTCTCTTTGCTCTCCACTGAGTAGGCCCAGTTGGCCTGACATGCAAGGTGACCACACACCTGGCTTAACCTGGTGTCTTCCCGCCTGCCTTCAGGAGCCCAGGCCTGCTGGCCCCTGGCATTCCTCGTACCTGAGGACAAGCTCATCCCAGCCGGGGTCTCATAGGAGAGTGCTTTTTATTCCTGGCTCCTCAAAAATCAATGCTTTGCCCATCAAGCTTTCATTAATAGCCTGAAAATAAAGCTGGGACATGCTTCTGATCAGTTTCTAGTTACCTCTGCTGTTTACTTTTCCCCCACAACCCCCAAAATGTGACAATGAGACATAGAGATTTTCCAAACGCTTTACTTTCAGAATTGGGCTCCTCTTGGCTCACGTCACTGTGGTAATTGATGGCAAGCCAGAAGCACATGGTTTTTTTAAGCTTTTTTTTTACTTCACCGAGTTGATACTCAGAAAATAAAATGTAAATAAAAAATGTTAAATGGTATGTCATATATTTTGGTGGAAAATTTACAAATGTAGACAAATATAAAGAAGAGTAAAATTTTTAATTTCACTTGACTACCTAGAGATGATAGCTATTAATCAAAAGACTTGCAGCCTTTTCTCCAATTATATAAATCGATAACTACAGGCAATTTTTTATTTATTTTTTTTACAAAATTGGTATCCATTTTGTTTGGTCATTTGTCTTGCATCTAATATCTGTGTCATTAAATGTTCTAGAACATGATTCGTTGATAGCTGCAAGTATAATTTAACATAGATTATTCCCCTGCTCCGGGTTTTCCTTTTTTATTTTGGCCACAAAAAATTTGGTCCTAGTAACAGGAGTGTGTTTTAAACCACTTAAAAATTAACTGACTCTGATATCAGATTTGAAATTTCCAGGATGTTAGATTAAAATTTGCATTAAAATCACGCTTCTCCAGAGAACCGACTTTCAGGCACAGGCAGCTAGAGAATCAGAAACGCTCCCTCGTGCCTCTGTGATGCCCTGGCGACACCTGTGCCCTTGTCCTCCGTGCTCTCAGCTGGCTGGGAACTTGCCTCAAAGCAGCCAGTGACGTCGCTCAGACTGAGACTCTGGCCTTGTTGGTTTTTACAGCTGGTTTGGTGGTGAAAAAGGCCGCCTCGGATGCGTCCATCTCCTCCGGGACCCAGGGGCAGTACTCAGTCTTGCAGACAGCAAAGCTTCTGCCAGGAGCGCCTCAGCAAGTGGTGAGTTCTGGGTTCGGCTCAAAGTGAAACAGATGGCATTTCCAACCTGAGGGGTTGGCCCCGTAGTCCATCCTCAGCCCCTAAGATCACGTGGGGTCACCTCTTTTCAGTGACTACATAGGTTTCTCTCTCTGTAACCCTCCACCTCTCCACCAGGCCTCCCCAAACCCCCAAACTTAGCCCTTTCTGGGCTTTTAAATGGTCATGCAGGGTATTAGAGCGAGGTCACGTTTGGTGCAAAATCCAAGCGTCCCTGCATGGTGGGATTGTTGGTTTCCAGACACACCTGCTTCTCTCTTCCGACGCCTGGCTTTGACGTTGGTGTGTAGAGCAGTGCTTGGTACAAGGGAAAACAGAAATTCAGATCCGTTTTCTTGACAAAATGATGATCATTCTCGTGTAAAGTCAGCTGAGAGAAGAGGCTAAGAAGAGATGGGATGGGCCTAAATAACGCAGTCGGGACACTAGTAATAATAACAGTCATTAGGGTTTTAGAGGTGGAGAGGATGTCAGTGAGCTGCTAAAGACAGTAGGTGGAGGGGGAAGGAGGAGAAAGAAGTCGGGGTGCTGGGTGGAAATGGGGTGTCCTGGGAGGGTGCGCAGAGCTGGGCCAGACGCTCACACATTCACAGCTGGAGGAGGGGGTTGACTAGATGTCCATGGCTTAGATGCCTTTGAAGGCGGGTCATTAGCGGCAACCCAGAGGTTTGGGTGAAGAGAGGTAGAAAGGTGAAGAGGCAGAAGCATATATCTGGGAGGTGTTTTAATAACCCAGCTGGGCCGTGGAAGGCATGGCTTCTGATGGGCTTTCTGGCTCTTATGTAGTTATTGAAATAAAGTCAGAGGATGGTTTGTCCACACTGCAAAAACCTGTGGCCACCCGGTTTGGGAGACAAAGATTGTCAGCTTTGAATAGTATTGCATTCCTCTTGGTATGCGAGTGCTCCTGGGGAAAAAAGAGGCGTGAGAGCTGCGACCTGGGTAGGAGTTTGTGTTTTAATCACCATCTATCTAATGGAGCTCTGTAAGGCTCTCGTACAGTAGGCCGTGAACACACCAGGGGAGGCTGCTTCCTGCCTGTGTTAATACGCTTCTCTTCCTCGTTCTGTCCTCAAGCCCAAAGCTAGGACCGGGATAAGTAAACCGTATAATGTCAAGCAGATCAAAACTACCAACGCTCAGGAGGCAGAAGCAACCATCCGATGTCTCCTGGAAGCCAGTGGAGGTAGGTGTTCCCCGGGCTCTCTCCCTGGAGGAGAAAAACATTCGTTCCCCTTTTCCTTTTGCCTTCCTACTAAAAGAAGCCTAGAAGAGAAAAGAACTTTTGTTTTCTGACTGTAGTATTAAATGAAAGCACCCTTTAGCAACATTTTATAAAATTCCACTACTAAGATTTATTATCCATTTAAAATTTAGTAAGTATATAAAAATAATCCCAGGATTATTAAGCAGCACTTAAGGAAGACACCGAAATAAACGTGAGGTTAGAAACAGAATATGTTCCAGGCACTAACTCTTTGTGCTGTAAAAAAAGAGAGAGTTAGGCACACGTCCCCCCATGAGGCACAGAATCTCCTTTTTAAATCACCAGCAACTGTAGGTTCTTTACTGTCAGTCTCCTCTGCACGCTGCCTGTTCATTTTTATTGCTGTTACTTTGCTTACCCCATGTTAATCATGCTTTACCTTAGAATCTCCCCATGCATTCAAAATTGCTGGTAAATAACATTTTTGGGGTTTTTGTTTTGATTTTGGAGAGGGGAGATTATGCCAGCTGAACAGTTATATGCAGTTACAATCACCTAATTTGTTTTTAGTCAGGATATTTAACTTATTTGGAATTTTCAAATCACATTTAAGAGATTACGAAACACTGTTGTAAGATAACATCATTGCAAGTCGTTTCTTCTTTTATTTATTTAAAATACTTTTATTTAAAAATATAACTATAATTGTATGTAATAACTTGAGTGTCCATCAATTGATAATGGATAAAATGTGGTGTAAGCATACAATGGAATATTATTCAGCCATAAAAAAGAATGGAGTACTGATACATGCTATATCATAGGTGAATCTTGAAAAATGCTAAGTGAAAGAAGCAAAACACAAAAGACCATACAAATATGAAATATCAAGAATAGGCAAATCTAGGGGCCGGCCGAGTGGCTCAGTTGGTTAAGAGCGTGAGCTCTGAGCAAACAGGGTCCCTCGTTCAATTCCCACATGGGCCAGTAAGCTGTGCCCGAGCTGAGCTGCAAACAGGCGGCAGGATGGCTGAGCTGGTGAGAGCATGTGCTCCTAACAAGTTGGCAGTAGGACTCCCGCATGGGATGGTGGGCTGTGCCCACCCACAGCTAAGATTGAACACAGCACCTTGAGCTGAGTGCCCACGAGCTGCCAACAGGCGGCCGGATGGCGACTGGAGTTGGAGCTGAGCTAGCTGCACCCTCCATAACTAAGATTGAAGGACAACAACTTGGCTGTTCCCCTGCCCCAGTTCCCCAACACTGTTCGCCTTCCCCAATTCCCCAGTAAAATCTAAAAAAAAAAAAAAAAAAAGAATAGGCAAATATACAGAAAGTTATAGTGGTTTCTAGCCGCTGGAGAGAGGAGGGAATGGGGAGTGCTGTGGGTATGTACAGGGTTTCTATTTGCGGTGATGGAATGCTTCTGGAATTAGTGGTGATGGTTGCAGAACTTTGTGAATACACTAAATACCACAAATTGTATTCTTTAAAAGGGTATGTTTTATGGTATGTGAATTATCCTGCAATTTTTAGAAAAAAAATCACTCATGTGGGATATAAAACTGAAAGCAACAGATGAAGAAACAAACAAAAACTCATGGACACAGACAGCAGTTTAGTAGTTACCAGAGCGGGAGGGAGAGTGACAGAAGAGGGCAAACAGGGTCCAGTATCTGGTGATGGAAGGAGAACTGACTGGGTGGTGACACACAATGCAATATATACAGGATGTATTATAGAATTGTATTATAGAAACCTGAAACCTATCTAATTTTAGTAACCAATGTTACCCTGATAAATTTTTTAAAATTAATAAAACAATAAAGAAAAAAAATTCTGTAGATTATGTAGAAGTCAGGAGAGACTTGAGGTTTGAAATCACCCGTGGTTCCAACTTCACATTTCCTTGGTCATGGGCCCTGCTGAGATTTTGAGGGGTTTTGGATCATGTTCCCTGAGAAACATACCTACACATAAAATTTTGCGTGTGATGTCAGGGCCCGTAGGTCCCCCATCAGGAGCATGCACAGACCCAGCTCAGCATCCCAGCTGAGAAGGTGAGCATGAGAAGCTGCGGGTCAAACCTAGCTGGCTGGGCCTGACAAACACCGTTTTTTAGAAAAAAGGAAATACATTGCATTGGTAAACACTCTCTGAGTGTGGACTGCCTAAAGATTACATCATGCGGCGAATTGTCCCTTCAGCCATGCAATGGTATGTTTCAGGCGCCCCAGGAGAAGCCCTGGATGCCACCGATCTGAGGGACGAAGAGACCCCTAAACCAGAGCCCACAGCAGGAGTGGCCCCACTCCTGCCACGTCGGCCCGCACCCAGGGTCCCTGCCATCAAGAAGCCAACCTTGAGGAGGACAGGAAAGGTAAGAACTGGTGGCGTCAGCCTCTTACTCCTGAGTTGCTCAGACGACTTGTTAGATAAGAACCCCGTCTCCGTTGAGCCTGTCTCTCTATACACATTCATGAGGCCCTGACACAGCCCCATCCTTGAGGAAAATGCCTGGCAAGTGCTTTCTCCTTCATATCCCTGCCACATCGGGCTCTAGCTGAGCGGGTAAAGCTGGAATTTCTCAGCACGACAGGAATGGCTTGGAGGTGTTGCACTGCCTACATGTCCTAGTTGAGTCCCCACGTCAAACCTCTGTGGGATGCCAGAGCCCAGGTGTTCAGGTCGTTCCCGTTCGTGTGTGGGCTGTGTCGTGTGCACATGGGTGTCACGTGGACAGGTTTTATTTGCATTAGAAGAACACTTACCGGTTCCTAGATGAGCGGCGTTGACCTCGGCTGCTGGAGCCTCGACAGCTTTTCTTGCCACTTTTCTTGCAGATTGTGTTTTGCTCTCGCTCCCAAGCTTCTCAGCCTTGCTTACTGCTTCAAAGACATGAGTTTGTCAGGACAGTAGCAGCCCAAAGACTGGCACCTCTAGAGACACCTGGATCTTCCGTTTGATCTCAGTGTTCCAGTAGCTGGACACTCGGTAACCCCTTGCTGGTCATTACAGATGGCCGCTGCTTTTCCACCTGTCCACGTGTGAGCCGTGGCTTGGCGCCGCGTTCCTACTGAGCTCGCTTTGGCTCATTGCATCTGTCTTTTTTTTCATGCCTGCTTGCAAATCAGACCCCTTTCCTCCTCCTTCCCCCTGTGCTCGCTTTGTCTTTTCTCTTAAGAGCCAGAGGCCAAACCAGATCCGTTTTCCCAGCCTGCTGCACATGAGTGGCAGTCGGAGGCTGCGGGAGAAGGAACTGTGTTTGCTGTTTGTTTTCTAAAGAACCAAAGGAAATACTGAAAGGCGGATGCTGCAACTGTTGACGAGCCACTCCTGTACCAAAGCTTTCTTTTGCATCGTGCACTTGTTTTCTTTGTGATAATTTTGAATCGGAACCAAGGAAGGGAAATTTCTGTGAAAGTTTCCATTCTTCTACATTTAAATATCAGAATTCAAGGAGCAAGTATATCCTTTAGTCCTTCAATTAGCTTAATGCCGGAACATGAGTGGCTAAAGCCTCGCACGGACTGTTTGAATTATCAAAGGTGCAGACTCAAAAGCAGTTTTGGGGAGATTTGCTCTTAAGAAGGGGAGAGCATCACCCCATTTCCTGAGACGACAAAGGAAAACCTGTCTCAGATTATTCTGTGGCCCCGGTTGTAAAATTTCCACTCATGTTTCATTGAACCTGCTGGGACTACTTGATAAATGTGTGTGTTTCTCTTTCGTACTTGGTCACATCTCTGCATCCCAGACATTCTCAAATCTCGAATTTGCTAGAATGTCCGCCTAGCCCCATCTCTGCTCCCTTGCTGCCCTGGTCTGAGTGCTCTCTGATTCCCAACTCCCCCAGTGCTGGCTTCTGATTTACACTCTTTTTTTTGTGCCTTTTCTCAGCCCACATCGCCAGAAGAACAACTTGGGCAACAGCCTGTCCATTTCACAATCGGGCCCCTGGAGACCAGCCTTGAAACCCCTCCTCTAGTGGCAATCCCTCCTGTTCCCAAACCAAGAACACTTCAGCCCGGGAAAGGTGCCGAGAGGAGGCCCAGCGTAGGCAAGCTGGCGCCAGACCACGCCCCTGCCGCGGCCACAACGCCCCCTCTGGAGGGGCCGCCTCCTGTGCCTCAGGTCCCCCCGAGGAGGAAGAAGTCAGCCCCCGCGGCCTTCCACCTGCAGGCTCTGCAGTCCAGCAGCCAGCTCCGGCAAAGCCTCACCTGCGGCGGCGGCGGCGGCGGCAGCAGCGACTGTCCCCCTGCACTCCAGCCTGACGGGGGCGCTCTGTTTCCACAACCGGCTTTTCTTAGCACGGCGTCAGCGGCGAGCCCGGAGGCTGATGGCCCCAAGGAGACAAAGCCAGAGGCGGCCTCCCTTCTGGGTGATCATCAGGATCCCTTCTGGAGCCTTCTCCACCACCCTAACCTGTTGAATGATGCCTGGCATTCCAAGAACTCTGACGCCCTGGACTCAGGGCCCTGGAACCTCAGAAGGGCACACACAGCCCCCCTGCAAGTCAGTGGCTCAGCTGCCCGGGAACCGCCCCCGGAGCACAGGCAAACAGACTTCGGTCGCTGGGTGGCGATCGGTGACAAGAACAAGAGGACGGTGCTGCAGGCGTTTGACCCGCTGGCAAAAACATGAGCGGGGAAACGGACCGTCTCTTGCAGAACGCGCGCCTTCTTCCTTTAGGCAGCGCTTTCCAGGGAAAAGCCAGTGGCCTCAACCAAAAGAGACAGCTGTGTAAAGGCACACCGAAAAAACGTTTGTACTTCCGTCACTCTTGTGTACTTTACAAAGGTCGTGTCTCTTAGTCAATAAGTTTATTATTCAGCCACCGAGATGTGTTTTATTCCAGACTTGGCATTTTGAGTTTCCCCTCAGGGGCGTGGGAAACCTCCGATTAGATTCACTGTGTGGGTTTTGGGAAGGAGAATGAGCTGATAATGCCTGAGGAGTTGTGTCCCGTAGAATTTTAAGTCGTTGTTCAGTTGATGTGTGTACATGGTATTTTTAAAAGTTTGTTAGTATTTTACAGATTTGGAATAATTTTTTTGGTGACCCACCTGAAGGTTGACGCATTAAGTCAGGATTACACCCAGAGGTGGTTGGGACCAGCAAGAGCCGTACCTGGCCTGCTGGCACCAGGTTAAAAAATCAGGAAGCAGCAAATAGGTCCACGAAACGACTAGGCTGTCCATTCCTAGTGTGAGCCTTATGTTTATTTATGCACGTGTATATCGACCTTGATCGTGCGGGAGATGGTGTCTGCATTGGTTTGGTTCTGCAGCATATACCATTTGCTTAACCTGAGCTTGAACCAGCGGACGAGTCCTGCGCCCCGTCTCAGATACCACATGGCCCGTCCATGGCCAGTCCTGAGTTTTTTTTACACATTCTCCATCCCCTATTAAAGGAAACCTCGTTGGGTCTTTTTTTTCCCCATATCTTCCATCCCTGGTGAAAGCACACATGTGAAAACTCATTCTTGCACATCATATTGATCCTCGTTGTTATAATATGCTGAATATTTGTTTTGTTGTAGCCCAGTCTGCCCGGCTGCAGCTGCAGGAAGAAAAGTACCATATGTCCCTACATGTCAGAAACCCAGGGTTTGCTTATCTGTATGTTTACTAGGTTTGTTTTTTACCCATACACTTCCAACACCACTTCTTACCTATTTAATCATTTAAAAAGACATCACCATGCTGTTTTACATTTAAAAAATGTTATAAGGCCTAAGGTCCATTTGGAATAATTCTATTTTTGCTAATAAGAAATCCACTGGCAGAATCTTAGTGTGTCTCATCCCATATTTAGGAGACTTTCATGTCATAGACTCATACAGCAATGGCCCTGCATTGTCCCTAATGTGCGTGGGGGACCCCTGTACTAAATTCTGACGGTTAGGACAGCAGTGATCATTGCCTGGGGAAGACCACTCTTACCAATCAGACCTCTGGGATTTCTCAATTATTTCTCATCACCAAGATCAAATACAGATTATTTAAATCTGCACTCAAAACAAAAAACTACTACATTTACATATCTCACTTCACCTGAAAACTGACGAAGCAAACGGTATTGGTGATCCACAGAGATAAACAGAGAACACATGTAGTAGTTGATCAATTGGAAAAGATGGCGTTTCTGGCTCAAGGTGATTAGGACACCTTCTGTAGTACATATTTTACATCATTGTTACCTCTCTCACAAACACAAGCAAACAACGTAATCCTTGAAAGAGCTAAGGGGAGAAAGAAAGCAAGATGGCTAATCGGCTTGGAGAAGTTAAATGATCTGCTAGGATTCACACTGCTACTGAAAGTATAATTTGAAATGGAAGCAAAGATTTCTTAAGTGCTCTTTTTTTCTGTAACCTTTTCCCACCAAAAAAGGAGGTGAATTTGAAAGCAGGTGAATGTAATGACCAATTAGAAAAGCGTGGGAAAGTCAGACCATGAGAGTCCTGTGAATAGGCCTAATTTCAGGGGTTCTTCTTTGTTCTAAAAAGCAAATAGCCAGTAAACAGTACAGAGAACAGAATTTCAATTAAGACAGGTGCTCGTCACACAAGTAGCTCTTAAGGATTCTACAGTAAGTATTAATGCACAGAATTGTGTTGACCTTGGGAGGCAGGTCACCAGAAAAATTACAGTAAGTTTAGCATGAAGAATTGAACAAATATTGGATCATGGGTGTTCAAGCTTAGTGAACAACACAGACTGGATTTTGAGTTGACAATATATAAGGTTCTAACACCAACATTCTCTTTAAAAAAAGAAAGACAATTGGAATTGCCTTATTTATTTTTTAAATCAATGCTTAATAGTTGGTAGGCTTCCTGGATTAGCAGCAGAGTCAGTTGAATAACCTTGACAATGAATAGCTGACATCGGGGGCATTTCATTCTGTGGTTTTTGTATTTTTTGTTTTTTTGATGTTCCCACACAGGGCTTTTTACTGTGACCTTGTTTATTTCATGACTTTTCCGTAAGACATTACAGTTCACTGCAGAGTATTTTAGGCATAGTACTTTACAATTCAACATCATCTCTGACTCCAATTACTATATTTCTTTTGACAACATATTCTCTGACTTCTTGCCTGTTTTAAAATTTTATTCCAGTTGGACATCTGCCCAAGCAATTCCTATAAAAGTTCAAAGTTGTTGAAGTTTAAGACACTTAATAAAATCCTACTGATGTGTATAAGTATAAAAGTAATGTATTAAAATGTGTTCTTTATAATGAAGTGATTTCATCAAAAAGGAAAGCCACAAAAATTATTTATTGACTGATTGGCAATTAATAAAAACCCTGTAATGTTTATTTGAAGTGATAATTTGTACTGAACTTGTAAAAAACAAAAAACCTATTAAATGTTTTGTCTTTTTTTTTTTTTTTTTAAATTTGGCTTGCTTCTTTTCAGATATGGAGAGAACCTTGGGATATCTTCTTTGGTTAGCCTTCTATTCTGGATGAAATGTGACTACTAGTTATTCCTCTGTTTGAGTTCTTGTTTTGGAGTTTTGTTTTCAACCATCAGACTACATTGAAAAAGCACAAAAAATAATTTAGTTAAGAATTTATTACTTGAATAATGCCAGTAGGGACCACTATGATAACATATATAATAACTTTATGCTACAATATCTATAAGACTTGGGAGATTCTAGAATTCATTTTCTATAGGATCTTATAGCAAACTTACAAAATCTGAGACTATTAGATTGGTTTGAGTACATTACTGCGTAGAGGCAGGAGAAGGGAGTAAACAATCTTCCAAGTTCTGTCTAGGTGTGTTACTAGTTAATTAACACAGAAAATACAGATTATAAATGTTATCTGATGGCTTTCAGGAATAAGAATATACCGACAATCTCATAATAAAGATGGCTGTTCCTTCCTGACCAGTAAGTACCATATTGAATTCATTTAATCTAACTGCACAGCCCTGGGACTTGATCAGGGAGGGAGGAAACAGCCGGTTGTAGTTCCTTCTTTTCCAAGGTAATAGGACAGAGAGGCAACTCACTCTCTTACAAGGCCAACTGTTTATGTCTACAGAGTAACCTCTATCTCAGTGAGGTAGGAGAGTACAAGTGAGAGGGTGATTGTGAACAGACGGTCAGGGAAGATTTGAGAGGAGAGGATTAAGAATTTGACAAGTAGTAGGGGCCGGCTGAGTGGCTCAGTTGGTTACGAGCTCGCTCAAGAGTTTGAGCTCTGAGCAACAGCGGTTCGCTTCCTGGCCCGAGCTGAGCAGCTGCTGAGCTGCCAACAGGTGGCAGGATGGCTCAGCTTATTAAAAAAACAAACAAACAAAAAAAGAATTTGACAAGTAGTAAAGTGTCAGGTGGGTACTAGATTAATTGGATTACTGCATAAATTATATAAATGTCTAGCCACTACACTGTACACCTGAAACTAATATAAAATAATACTGGATATCAACTATAACTGAAAAAAAATTAACTAGTAAAGTGGACTTACATACATGGAAAGGATGTTCGCTGATGGGAAAGAACTTCACAGGACCTTAGATGGTAGTTTAGGACTTTGTTCTGTAGAATAGAAGTCATGGGTAGTGGAAACACCTGAATAAGTCTCTGTTAGAGTGGTTAAAATTATAGGCTAATAGCAACTCTTCAAAGCATCTGGAATATAATTTACAAATGGTGTGAGGTAAGGTCTCCAACATCCAGTTATACCATACCACTTAGTAAATAAATGATTGCTCTCTAGGTTTCTGGAGGGGTTATTCAATGTTATTCACATTTTCAAATAACAGTGGAGTTCATACATCCTTTCTATTGCTTGTTAAAAAAATTTGTCAGCTTTAAAAACATTTTTCATTAACTTTAACTTATTTAATTTACACCCTTTTTCTACTTTAATTTTGCTCTTTTCCTAATTTCTTCATTATTTTCCATTATTTTGGTTCCATTTTTAATCTTCCTTACTTAACAAAAAAGATATTTAAAGTTGTATATATTTCCCATGATTATATCTTTTTTGTTTTTAAGATTTGGGGGGATTGGGGGAGGGGAATAGCGTTGGGGAATTGGGGAAGGGGAACAGACAAGTTGCTGTCCTTTTGTTCTTCAGTCTAGTTGTGGAGGACGTTGCTTCACTGGCCCTTGTTGGTATTATCATTGCGCTCTTCCCGGGTGAGGCAGTCGCTCACAGGCCATTGGACGGGGGCTCACGGTGGTTCACGCAGCTCACGCCCTCTGCTGGCCAGTCCCACTGTAGCCTACGCCGCTGCAGGCGGCTCACTGCAGCCCAGCTCCAGGTCGAGCTGTTGTTCACCATCTTAGCTGTAGAGGGCGCAGCGTCCCTGGCCCAAATGTGGGATCCGGACCAGGGCCCTGCTGCTCAGAGCTGGCGTCCCAAGCCAACTCTTAACCAACGTGCCACTAGACAGGCCCCTGTGATTATATCTTTAACTGCACCCTATAAATTTTAATGTGAAATAGTCTCCTTTTCATTAATTCCTAGATTGTAATTTGCTCTTATTTTCTCTTTAATCCAAGGAAGACTATGTAAACAAACCCTTGACTTTCCACAAGTTAAGGGTTTGTTTGGCATTTTAAAATAGTTTACTCCCAATTTTATTTGATTATGACCTAATGAGATTATGGCCTCAATAAACATCCAGTTTTTTAATTTTATTAAGGTTTGCTCTGTGGTTAAGTGCAGGATTGATTTTTGAAGTGATTTCTTCAGTATAAAAAATGTTTTTATTCATAGGGTACAAAAGCATGCATGTGTGTGTGTGTGTGTGAGAGAGAGAGAGAGAGATTGGTTGACTTGATATGTCGATTCCCCTGTACCCCAATGGAGCAGGTCCTTCAGAAGGCAGACTTGGGGGGTGGGGGGGACAAGTGCAGGCTCTAGTTCTAGCTCCAATGTGATGACCTCCCATTGTTTTTACCAAGATTCCTTAGATTTTGTTGAATAAAGTTTCTCAATTTGTTGTAAGTCTTTTGATCAGTCTCTACACGCTTTGAATCATTGCATTTGCTAATTTTGTCCAGTTTAATAGATGTCTCTCTGGGGGAGAGGTTTTCCTGAGCTCCCCGTAGTGCCATTCCAGCATTCCTGCCCCGTGGGCTCTTTGTTCTGTGCCACAGGTTTCCTTGTTAATTCTGTGCCAATACTAAGTCTTCTTGTTTCTTTCAACTTTGCTACCTGGTAAAACAAGCCCTCCTACCTTATTCTTTTTCTTTAGAGTATCTTGGTTATTCTCGACCCTTTGTGATTCCATATAAATTTTAGAATCAGTTCATCAAGTACCATTAAGATAAAAACCTATTGGAATTTTTGACTGAGACTGCATGGAATAGAATAGACATCTTTACAAATACTGACTGTTTAAGAAGAGTCAATGGTATATTTCTCCATTTAAGGATTTCATTGATGTTTTTCAAATTTTTTAATGTGTTCTAAAATTTTTCAAACATACATGAAATCAGAGGGAATAGTTTGAACCCTCACGCATCAATGTCCAGGATTTAATAGGAATTAACATTTTGCTATGTTTGCTTTTTTTCCGTCGCTCAAATATTGGGTTGTTGGAAAAGTCATGATGTAGTTTTTCTGTTTTTCATTGCAAAAATGCGTCATGACTTTCTCGACAACCCAATATTTTAAAGCAATTCTATCATATTTGACCCCTAAATATTTCCAATATGTATCTGTAAATAAGATTTTCTTTTATAACCTTAATGCCATGATTATATATAATTACCAATAATTCTTAAAATTCATTTGCTATTTTTTGCTAGTATTTTAAATAACTTTTTTTGTGTGTTGACTGCATCAAGCAAACTTGCTAAACTCTCATGACAATTTACTGTATTTTAATATGCCTAATATATTATCAATTATAAGGTTCACCATTTGTATAATGTTATTCGTAAGAAGGTGATGTGGTTGAATGTTTGTGTTCCCATCGAACTCATGTTGAAATGTTAACCCCCAGAGATGATGGTATTAGGAGGTGGGGCTTTGGGGAGGTGCTTGGGCCATGAAGATGGAACCCTCATGAATGGGATCGGTGCCCTTACAAAAGAGACCCCACAGGGATCCCTCACCCCTTCCACAGGTGAGGACACAGCAAGAAGCTCCCCGCTCTGAACTAGGAGGAGGGCCCTCACCAGAATGTGACATTGTCGGCACCTTGTTCTTGGACTTCCCAGCCTCCAGAACTACCAGAAATACAGTTTGTTTGTATAAGCCACCCAGTCTGTGGTACTTTGTTAGAGCAGCCTGAACAGACTGAGACAGAAGGCTTCCAACTACGTTATGACTCATCATCTGTTGTGAGACGTAGCCCCCTTACAGAGAATTAAAATACTTTTAATGTATCTTAAAATTGATAAAATAAGGTATCTGTAGATCATTTGGATCTTCTATGTAGACAATCATCCGTAAACCATGCGTTTTGTTTCTTCCTTTCCCACCCTTGTATCTTTTTACGTCTTTCTCCTAATAAGGTAAGAGGGCTGTTACAGAGCTGGCTAGGATAGTCAGTATTAGGTTGGTGCAAACGTAATTGCAGTTTTTGCATTGTTGAAATTTGCCTTTGATATTGGAATACATTCTTAAATACATGTGGTTATGTTATACATCATTTTAATGCACATTTCTTGCTTTATTTTTTTTGCTAATGACATTACTTGCTATTTATTTTATATATACAGTAAAACCTTGGTTTGCGAGCATAATTTGTTCTGGAAACATGCTTGTAATACAAAGCACTTGTATATTAAAGTGAATTTCCCCATGAGAAATAATGTAAATTCAGATGATTTGTTCCACAACCCAAAAATATTCATATAAAATGATTACAATACTGTAATAAAATGCAAAATAATTAAATAATTGAATAATTAAAAAATACAAAATATAAAGAAAAATAAACAAATTAACCTGCACTTATCTTTGAAAACCTTCGTGCTGGTGTGAGGGAGACAAGAGAGAGGAGGGTTACTGTGTAGAATGACTGTCACTGTCACTAACGGAATCACTGCTGCCTATTGGCTCAATGGAATCTTTTCTTTTTATGCAACTTTAACAAGGAACTTATGCAATGACACTTGCTTTAGCCTCCTTCTGAGGATTTCGTGGAAATGTGACATTGCATTGTGGTTAAACAGATTCATGACTCGCACAGCTACACCCTTTTTCTGGTGGTGCTTTTCTACAAAATTTCGCACTGTTTCCCACATTTTACGCATCTCCCTAATCTCATTTGAAGTGAGGGATTCCTCCGCCTTCTCTTCCGCCTCTCCAAACGAGATCTCCTCCATAACCTCTGAGCATGGGAGACAATCACCCACAATTCTGCAGCGAGAGAGAGAAGATCCATTGGCTCAGTTGTGATCATGTGATGTTC